TCGACAGAAAAGCAGAACGGCGACCGGGCGGCTCGGGTGTACAGCGGATCGGCTCCCGGGCGGCTCGACGGCAGGGCGGCTCGGGTGCAGGGCGGCTCGGCTCCCGGGCGGCTCGGCTGCAGGGCGGCTCGGGTGCAGGGCGGCTCGGCTCCCGGGCGGCTCGGCTGCAGGGCGGTTCGGGTCCCGGGCTGCTCGGCGACAGGCGGCTCGGGTCGCGTAGAAGTGAGACGGGGCGGGGCCGCGTCAGGGCCGGCGGTAGGGCCGCGTAGGAGCCGGGGCAGGGCCGCGAAGGAGCCGGGGCAGGGCCGAGTAGGAGGCCGGCGGTGGGGCCGCTTAAGGGGCCGGCTGCGGGGCCGAGTAGGAGCCAGCTGCGGGGCCGCGTGAGAGCCGGCGCGGGGCCGCGTAGGAGCCGGCGGCGTGGCCGCGTCAGGGCCGTGTAAGGGGGGGGGCCGGCGCGGGGCCGCGTAAGAGCCGCGTAGGAGCCGGCGCGGAGCCGCGTAGGGGCCGGGGACGGGCCGCGTAAGGAGCCGGCGCGGGGCCGCGTAGGAGCTGGCGGCGTGGCCGCGTAAGGGCCGCGTAAGGGCCGCGTAAGGGGCCGGCGCGGGGCCGCGTAAGGAGCCGGCGGCGTGGCCGCGTAAGGGCCGCGTAAGGGCCGCGTAAGGGGCCGGCGCGGGGCCGCGTAAGGGCCGCGTAGGAGGCGACGCGGGGCCGCGTAAGGGCCGGGGCGGGGCCGCGTAAGGAGCAGGCGGCGGGGCCGCGTAAGGAGCAGGGCGGGGCCGCGACAGAGTGGGCGGCGAGGCCGCAGGGGAGAGGGCGACTCGAGGGGTCGCTAAAAAAAAAATTGCGCCTCGGGGGCGCGCTTCGGTGGGCCCAAAAAAAATTTCGGTCCTGGAGGGACCTAGCTCTATACCATGTGAAATGAGTAAGCAGGAATGATGTGAACTATGAGTGAAAGCAGTACAAATGTGAAACCCTAACTGGGTCGTACCCCCTATGGGATACCCCACTACAGCCTACACAGCAGTATAAGCTATAGACATGTTCTGACAGAGAGGTAGGGCCTAGGCTTAGGAGCCTAGGCCCGAGATTAGGTATCGAGTAGGTTTTGGGCAAGGGTGAGAGGATCGAGGAAGTTGGAAAGGAGAAAAGATGGTGTTTCACTATAGGGTTCGAAGTACATATAGCATAGGAAACAAATAGGGTGCACCACCAACCACAGTTTAAATAACTACACTAACTACAACTACAAGCAGTTATAAAAGATGACAAATATATTTCGACACGAATGGCATTACTGTATACTCGAATGACCCGTACCTAGTCCTAAATGCTGTTTTGGTGCAGTCCGATGGTTCGACCCGAATCTGATGGTAACCTCCCCGTAAATCTATTTTCGAAAAGACTCGTGTTGTTCGCAGTTGGTCGATCAGTTCGTCGGCGCGGGGGATGGGGTATCGCGATTTGACTGTTACCCTGTTAAGCGCTCGGTAGTCGATGCACATGCGGAACCCTCCGTCTTTTTTCGGTGTGAACAGTATCGGTGCGGCGAACGGTGACGAGCTCGGACGGATAAACTGCTTCTCTAACAGGTAATCTAACTGCTTCCTTAACTCGTCGAGCTCGGGCTGTGTCAGTCGAAATTGCCGCTGTACAGTTGGCTGTGCCCCCGGTTCTAACTCGATCCTATGGTCGTGCGCCCGCTGAGGTGGCAGTCCCTGTGGTAAATCATCCGGAAATATCCCCGGGAACCGTTTCAGTAGTGCCTGTAGTTCGGTCGGTACAGCTGCCAGTAGTTTCTCCAAATCACTCGTCTGCTCATCTTTTTCTACGAGTGCGATATCCACTGCGTACACGTCAGCTCCAGCAGCGACAGCCCGTTTCATCGTGATGGCGTTGACTTGGACCGTCGAAGATTCGGGTGGCTGCCAGCGAGGTAGAACGACCCAGTTACCACTACTCCGCACTGTGCAGCTCCCCGTCGTCCAGTCGATCCGTGGATTGTACCGTCGCAGCCAATCACGTCCCAATAAAATGTTGTGCCCATCCAGTGTCGTCGCGAGCATTTCCTGTGTAAACCCGAAGTTCCCCCCGCAGCGGACTTTTACGCGCTCCACCTTTTCCCGTATGGCTAGGGGCGTGCCGTCGACTAAGCGTGCATCCATCTCAGGTAAACATCGGTTAAGCGTTAACTGTAATTTTCGTGCGGTTGCGGTATTAACTAAGCTGTGGCTTGCTCCTCCGTCAATGAAGATCTTCACTGCTGCTCCCTGTATTTTCCCGTAGATCAGTACCGGGCAATCCGTCGCTGTACCCTCCTTATTCATCCGAGCCCGATCGATGGCGTGAATCGGTACTGTGACTCGGTGAGGGTCGGTGTGGTTGGGCGAGCAGGCAGTCTCGTCAGTAGTTGGCCCAACTTCTACTGACTGCTGGCGTTTCCCTGCCTCTGAGACTCCCTCCCCTGCTCTGCTCCTCGACGCCTCAGCTCCTCTGGACATTCGCTCTTGCGATGGCCCGGCCGGTTGCAAGCAAAGCAGCGCCCTCTAAACGGCGCGGCAGCTGCATTCGCTGCGACGGCATGTACAGTGGCGTGCTCGGTCGGTCCCCGAGGACGATGTCCGTAATAGGACCCCGGTCTCGGTCGGCGTAGGATATCGATTTTCTCGGCGAGCGCGAGGATCTCGTTGAAATTCGAGAGCCCGTGTAGCATTATCTCGTGCGAGATGTCCGGCTTCAGCCCTCCGACGTAACGGTCCACCCGCTCCGCCTCGTGCATGTAGCCGACCTGTTCGCAAAGTGCGAGAAACCCGCCGGTGTAGTCTCTAACTGACCCGAGCTGGCGCCAAGTGCGCAGTTTCTGACGCGCCGAAATCGAGGCCGCGATCGGCTCAAAGCGCGCCCGAAGCCCTGCGCACCACGCATCCCACGTGCTGTATTGGGCGGTTTCGCAAAACGAACTCCAGGTAACAGCTGGACCCGAGGGCCCTTCCTCGTGCGACGGTGGCTCGTAGGCGCGCGGCGACGTCACAATGACTCGCCACCAGTCCATGGCGGGGCCCCTGAGTAGTGAAACCGCATACCGGATCTTGGCGGCGTCCGACTCGACGTAGTTGGCGTCGAAAAACACATTCATCGTGAAGACCCACGATTGAACTGTCGGGCCGCCGCGTTGGCTTGGGTCGAAGCAGGGCGGGCGTTGCGGCTTGAGTGGCATTGGGGCCATCATGGCGTTCTCGCCACTTGTCGCCGCAAACTCCACGTGCCGACGGGCTTCTCGGGGCTCCCGTGGGCTTAATGCGCTCCTGTTCCCTCCCATGCCGGGCATCGGTTGGGCTGCGCCGTCACTGGCTGCGCCGTCACTGGCTGCGCCTGAGCGCTGTCCCGTGCTGTTGTGTTGCGTTGGTGTGCCGGATGAGATGACGATGGGCTCCTCCAAATGTGCAGATGCATTGGTTTGTGCGTGTGATGTCGTCGGTACGTTCACCGTTGACTGTTGACGGGCGGAGTCACGTTCCGCCGTGAGAGTCGCGATTTCGAGCGCCGAATCCTCCAATTGACGCATGAGACGATCGAGTTGCTCCTGCGTCAACGTGGCGAGATTGAAATCGGCCATGGCGGGGGTGTCGGGCAAGCTCAGCGAGAGCCTCGGTCGTGGCCGTGCGTGCTTTCGAGAGAGCACTACGAGCGGCGGTGCTGTGTCGCTGAGAGACGTCTACCCCCCCCAAAATTTGAGATAGTGGGAAGCGAAGGTGTGGATGCGGTCCGAGATGAGATCGTAGGCTCTGAATACCAAGTGTTACGAGTGCAATTGAGTGAATGAACGAGAATTGCACTATCGAAGCAAGAATACAATTGAGCGAAGGCATGAGCGAACATTATATAGCGAAACTATAGTGGTAACGGTAATGGTCGCGCGACGAGCCTGGGACTGAGGTTTGGAAAGTGTCGAAGCGTAGGCCCGGAGCGCGGGTTACCAGCCGAGCCGTGAGGTCGGGATGCGATGTGCGAAAAGGGCGGGATGATGAATGATGCGATGGTCGCGAGTGGTAACGGTGCTGACTGAGGTGCTACAGTGATGTACGCGTTGAGCACGGACGCGAAGTAAGGAAAAGGGAATTTCCTTACACAAACCCATCCCCGTCCTCGTGTCCCTCACCTTGGACAACTCCCTCTCATTTCGTTTCCCCTCCCTCACTTGGCGACAGGTCACAGAATCCATCCAGGTCAGCGTGAACCCGAGTTCTTTCAGGGGCGTATGCTCAAGTGAATTTTCGTGCCTAGGTCTGCATTGCGGTTCATCGCCGGGATTTTCAAACTCGGGACACCGGACGTCACTGATTGTAAGGTTATGTTTCGACCCGCATTTCGAATCGTTTCGCAAAACCGCCAATCGAATGTAGAGTCTTCTACGGCCTTCACAGAACCTGTCCCCAGATCCATTGCGCTTTATTCCACGACACACCCTCCCCCCCGAACCATTCCACGGTGCCCCATGTGCTCCAATACAACACAGCAGAACTCTCGCATCTTGATCTTTGACATCTTGAGATCGAATTTCTTTCGGAGCTCGTTCCTTTCATTTTCACCCAGCGTTCACCAGCGACGGAAAGAGACATTGTCGCTGGGCGTTCGATTCCAGATTTCCCGCTTCTGCCGTGGGCACTCCATGCGCCACGAGAATCCTGCTTACGATGAAAACGACAAGTGCTCCACGTGGAATGGGATTCCAAAACAACCGAGCCGCAAACACGTTGCTTTCCCGTACGGGCAGTAACCAATGTCGATACCAGCGCCGGCGCCCGCTTCTTGCGGCGCCTGAGAACCCTATCGTCGCACGCAATTCTAGGAGAGCCTTATCAGCTCCCGTTTCCGAGAACCTTCCTCATCTCCATCCTCGCTTTCTCGTAAATCGCTTCTCGCAGTTTTCCAGCTGGTTCCCCCTTCTCCCTCTCCTTCTGCTCCTCTTCTCCGCCAAACCCGGTGTCGCCGAGACGCGGCTAATGTCGGGCGGCTTTATCCGCGAAGCCGTTCTCTCGCACTGCCAGCCGCACGTGCCGGAATTGTCGTCTTCTGATGGCGCTGCCGCCCCGCTCCCGGCCGTCCCTTTTCTCCTCTCCTCCAACTCCGTCATTCGCGGCAAATGGCGCTACCAAGACCCTCCCGCCGCCGCCGCCGCCGCAGCAGCAGCAGCAGCTGACGGAAACGACACTTCATTGTCGCCGGCTGGAGCAGACGGCTCGGCGTCAGGATCAGCCGGCCAGCCGGCAGTCCGGCACAAGGTCCTGACGACGGACTCGGGCGCGTTCGATTTCTGGACGGAGCACGTCGTGCCGACGGAAAACGGCACGTTGGACGTGGGCGCGCTCGTTTATGTCACGTCGCAGACGGAATGGGCGGAGAGCTACATGGGGACGGTGGTGGTGCGCGCGGAGGGGTATTTTTCGATGCGCGCGGGGGTGCTGTGCATGGTGGGGTGCCAGAGCCGGTTGGGGGGAGGCGCGGGGGGAGGGGAAGGGGAGGAGTCCGCGGAGGCGGAAGATCCGTACGCGGATCCGCGGAGGTGCAACATGCTGCTTGTGCTGAAATTCAAGGCGAAGAACGAGGTGAGACGGTGGGGTGGGGAGTGGTGCCTGGTGGTGGAATGGTGTGGGGTGCCTAGGAGGTGAGGTGCAGCATGCTGCTGGTGCTGCGGTTCAAGGCGAAGAACGAGGTATGTGATGTGCGTGGTGGGTCGCGGTGCCTGGTGGTGGCATGTGGTGCTAGGTGGTAGGGTGGTGTGGGATGCGTATAGCGCCCATCAGGCAGGCAGAGTGGGGCATGCGCCTTGAAGGGCCAAGGAGTTGTAGTATGCTGCTAGTGCTGCGGTTTAAGGCAAAGAACCAGCAGCACCAGGAGCATCAGGAGCATCAGGAGCATCAGGAGCACCAGGAGCACCAGGAGCACCAGCAGCACCAGCAGCACCAGCAGCACCACCAGCACCAGCAGCTCCAGGAGCACCATGGTGGGCTGGCGCGTGGTGGGTGGGTGTAACACTATGGCTGAATCTAACGACGAAACGAATCACTTCTGAGATTTCTAAAACACGAAACTTCCCAGAAAGCAACCAAAAAAAAAAAAAAAAAAGGCCTCCAGCAATGTAAAGGAGTACTCTAAAGAGGGATTGGAGGTTTTCCCAGGCAGCTTAGAGGAGCCGAGGATGAGTTTCAGAAGAACGCCCAGGAGCAGGGGAGCGCTTTGCAGTGTGGTGTGGCTGCCTGGAAACTTCACCTTTGCCCTACCTATCGCTCTTTGCCTCCTACCACCCTCTCTTCCCCCTCTCATCACCCCACCAGGCGGAGTGGCGGAAGAACGCCTAAGAGCAGGCGGAGGAGCGCCTGGAGCGGATTGCAGTGTGGCTTCCTGGGGGCTTCACCTGGTCCTCTCCCTCCTCCTTGCCCCTCCATCCCTCTATGTCTCTCTCCTTTCCGCCCACTCCCCGCCCCACACCGCCAGGCGGAGTGGAGGAAGAACGCCCAGGAGCAGGCAGTGGAGCGCCTGGAGCGAATAGCCATGGCCAAGTTCGGGGTGAACGGGGAGGGCAAGAGCAACGCCGCTGCTGCTGCCGCTGCTGCTGCTGCTGCTGCTGGTGCTGGTGGCAGCAGTGTGGGGGAAGAAGGGCAGGGAGAAGCAGGAGCAGCGGCAGCAGCGGCGGCAGGAGTAGGGGTGATCGACCCGCACACTCTGAAGGAACGCACGGATATCACGAAGGCAGACCTGCTGGATGAGTTGGGATCCGAGGTGGATGATACTTCCATTGTCGCCGACGTGCTTGTAATGGAGGGCACTGTAACGAGTACAATCCCGGTGGAGCAGGCAGGGGAGGGGAGCGAGTTCTTTGGGCCGCTCGCAGTGGCGGGGGAGACGGAATCACTCACACAGCAAGCGGAGCTCTTCGATTGGGACATGGTGGTCTCGGCCGTGCTCTCTGCCTTCCAAGCGCTGGCAGTGTTTTCTCAGGTGGGTCAGCAGTGAATGGGGCAGTAATATAGACAGGCAGGCGGCAGGCAGCAGGCGGAGCTGCTTGATTGGGACATGGTGCTCTCGGCTGTTCTCTCCTCCGTCCAAGCGCTCGCAGTGTTTTCTCAGGTGCGTCAGAAGGCAGTCAATGGGGGGGCAGTACCAGTTAACGGGGGAGACGGAGTTACTGTCTCAGCAGGCGGAGCCGCTCGATTGGGACATGGTGGTCTCTGCCATGCTCTCTGCCTTCCAAGCGCTCGCAGTGGTTTCTCAGGTGCGACAGAAGGCAGTCAATGGGGCAGTAGTACCAATCAACGGGGGAGACGGAGTTACTGTCTCAGCAGGCGGAGCCGCTCAATTGGGACATGGTGGTCTCTGCCATGCTCTCTGGTTTTCAAGCTCTCTCAGTTGCCTTCCTTTAATAACCCCTCTCTTTCCTCTCCTACCCCTGCTGTCCCGTCTCCCTCAAAGGTCGCCACATGGGCGGAATGGCTTCTGAACTGGCCCATGCCCTCTTAAGATTACGCCTCCCATACGAGCACGTCTTTATCACACTGGTCCAGTTTGCACTAGCAGCTAATTTGGACGGAGGTGGTTATCAAACTGAGCCCGTGTGATAAAGACATGCTCGTACAGGAGGCGTCGTCTTAGGATGACATGGGCAAGTTCAGAAGCCATTCCGGCTATATGGGCACCTTCCCCCTCTCACAATGGTTGCCTCCCAGATCATCATATTCGCCTCCTTCTGGCTGCGGGACCGCTCTCCTTCCTCTCCTCAGACATCCTCTCCTACCTCCCCACCTTCCTCCCACACCTTCTCTAGCGCGTGCTCTCGTTTACCCCTCCACTTACCCACTCCTCCTGTTCTCCTCCCACCTTCTTCTGCTGTTACTCCCCCCACCCCAGGTCTTACATGTCCGTTCACACCCCCACGCGCACTTCACCTCCCTCACCATGATTGCCACTCAGATTATCGTCTTCGCCTCCTTCTGGCTGCGAGACCTCTACTACCCGCTCTCTTTCCTCTCCTCAGACGTCCTCTCCTACCTCCTCACGCAGCTCGCCACCCTCCCCCACGCCATCGAGTTCCTCACCCTCCTCCTATACGTCCTCCTCTTTGTCTCTGTCGAAAGGAAGCGGAAACGGGCTGCAGCAGCGTACGCAGCAGCAGCCAGCGGCCTCCCTGTCAGTCCCTCCTCCTCCGCTGCTATTTACGCCTCCCGGCCGGCCTTCTCGCCCTCCTCCCCCTCCTCTGTCTCCTCCCGCTCCCCTTCCTCCTCCTCCTCCGCCTCATTTTCCATCTCCTCCGCTTCGTCTCATCCCGGAAGAAACGCTGCTAAAAGCACTCCACCCAGAATCACTGCTCCTCCGGGAGAAACCTTCGGAACCCACACCACCACCCAGCACCACGCACAACCCCACCAGCAGCAGCCGATGCAGTTGCTACCTCCCCCGAGTGACGCCTACGTGGCGCTGACGATCATGGGCATGGTGGGGGTGGGCGGCGGTATTCTCTACGTGTGGGACGCTACAGACGTGCTGCTACAGCTCGCCCACTTCCTCTTCCTGCTGCCGCAATCCATCGCATTCGCCATCTGGCAACCCCCACTCGCTGCCTGCCGCGGAGTCTCCCTCAAGTTTGCTGTCGGCAACTGGGCCGCTCAGGTGAGCTGAGCTAGGTGCTACAAAGGTGGTGCGTTTGGTGTAAACTGCACAGGTGAGCTTTGAGCATTTATGTGGGACTGCAGCTGTCCTCTTCCTCTGTCATTCTCTATACGCCATGCGCCATCTGGCAACCACTCCTCGCCGCCTGCCACGGTGTCTACCTCAAGTTTGCAGCCGCTCAGGTGAGCAGAGGTTGTTGCTCTTCAGGTGAGCTTGTGTGGGTGAACCCAGCAGGGTGTTTTTGAGAGTTCTCAAAAAACACACCTTGTGTGGGTGGATCCAGCAGCCCGCACACTTCCTGCTTCCCAAGTGCATTGCCTTTACCATCTGGCAACCCCCACCCTGCCGTGCTGTGACCCTCAAAAGTTGCCATTGGCAACTGGGCAGCTCAGGTGTGTTGCTCAGGTGTGTTGCTCGAGGACGGCACTCCATCCGTGCTGTATCGTCTTCCCCCTCCCCCACACTGCTCCCTGCTCGGGCCCTTACTTCTCTGTTTCACCTTGTCCCCTCCTCCCCCCCCTCCCCCCTCCATGGTGCCCCCGTTTTTTCCCCCCTCCCCAAATCCAGCTTCTACCCTTCCCCTATCCCCCTTCCCCCTTCCCCCTTCCCCATGTGATTCTTTTCCCTTTTGGCACCCCCTACGCCACCACCCCCTATTTCTCATTCCCCCGGTCCATCTGAACTTGACTGCTGGCCCCTGATGCTGGGCTACGACGCTCTCTTCCCCTCGCCCCACACCTATCAACTCTGGTTTTACCTTCCGCTTTGCTCTCCTCTCCCGCGCACCTCACCCTCCCTTCTTATGCCCACAGTCCATCTGGCTTGTCTTTGACTGCTGGCGGCCCCGCCTCCTCGGATACGACGCACTCTTCCCCTTCCCCCACGCCTACTTCTGGCCCTTCTTCATCATCATGACGTGGCACCTAGCTGTCTTCCTCACACAGTGGAAGTTCGGACCTCTGTGTGTGACAAACACCTCGTTACACGGTTACGCGGCTGTCCCGTCGTCCAACGCGGAGGAAGATGGGGTGGTAAATGGAGTGGTGTAGGTGGTAGCCTAGTTGAGCGTTTCAACACTACTTCATCCAAGCCCCCCCGTCTCCTGGGCAATGGGTGGACGTCTCAACACTCCTGAGGCTCTTGAAACAATCTTAGTATTTTGTTTGAGGCGCCTAAAAAGTGGGGGTGACTACACTCCTTCCAAATTCGTTTGTCACTATCTTGACTCTCGCCCTTCTGTATATTGGGGGCCTGCAAGGCTTGTCACGCGGGCTGATCAGGGTTCTCAGGACCAAACAAGTGATTGGAAGGGTGTTTGGGAACAAAATGCGCTTTTTTAAAGGAGTTTGGTCGTTTTCACATCATCTTGGCATGATTCCATGCATCTTCTGTTTCCACCAACAAATTTCCTGAATATGAGGCCGTGTGCTGCTGATGGTGGTGTTTAGTAGCTGTTCTATGGTGCTGTAAAGATTTAGCTGTTTAGGTGTTCCCTGTTGCTAGTACACCATAGCGCAAGGCCAGATCGGAATTCCCTGTTTAGGGTAAACACAAGAATGAATGGAGGATATCATGTTGGATATTATCAGCGACTGGCCGACTGACCGTGTAGATTCTCCTAGCGAGTACAAAGCCCCTGTCCTTGGTTAGAAGGTCCAATCCACACCCTCGTTTGCAATCATTTCGCGTGTCGCAGTTGACGAATCGGAGCGCTGACGCAATTGACAGCGCTGATACGAGCACATCCCAGGCCTGAGTCGTATTCGCCTTGTATTGGCCGACGTATTCTCTTCCACTGATTTGGGCTTCTTAGAGTATGCTATTCATCCACGTGGCTGCAGCACAGATTCTTCGAGGATGCTGGGATGACATGGCACGGCTTCTTTTGTGACCCTTTCGATGATATTTTCCTACCTTAACTGCCCTTTCGTAAGTGTAAGACCATCGGGATTTTGTTGGCTATTGATTAGGGGGCTCTCCACTCAGCCCCTTGAAAACCCGTTTTGAAAACAATCACACAGTAAACCGCGAATAAATAACAGTATTCTCAAGTTTCAAGTTTTCTTCACTGTGGTGAGGGTAGTTGTTCGTGAAACTCGAAAATCACTGTCCTTGCACCCTTCGGAATTTCCCCTCGAGTTGAGTAGCAGCAGGGTGGCAACATTAGAGCAGCTCAACAGCAAGAAACACCAGTCACACCACCTCCAGTGAGCGATCCTTTCTAGGCTGTCTTTCCTCTCCGACAACAGATCTCCACGAGAATACCACACCACCACAGCTCACTCACCACACTACCACCACAACAGTCCTCAAGAAAGCTCCATTCTTGCATTTCCCTGTGTCGAGTAGGCCGGTCTGCTTGTGCGGTGATCAGTCTACGTATCAAACCTCATTTCCAGCAATAGTTTCGCTGCGAAACGTTCATTCTCCCGACTCGCGACTCTTTCATCCTCAGGCAGTAACTCACTCCTTGCGCAAGTCCACTAAAAGCAGGAAAACGCTGTCATGGCTTCTCACGTCGCTCCCCTCCAACGGAGTCTTTTCGCGCGCGAGCGCGTCACAGCCGCCGCCGTTCCACTCAGCTCCTCTCACAGCATCGTCACCCTTAAGAGACGGCTAGGTTCTAGCAGCAAACGATCGCTCTCCCGTCGGCTTCCCTCATCTAGAGTTACAGCCGTTCGAGCTACAGCCGTCAGCGATGCGCCTTCCCGGGTCGCGGATTCGGGGTCGAGCGGGCTGGATCCAGATCTCGCCAAGTCGCCGTTCAAAGTGATTGTAGCGGGAGCGGGAATCGGCGGTCTGGTGTTCGCTCTGTCGTGCAAGAACCGTGGCATTGACGTGGAGGTAACTGATAGCATTCATGGGGATCTTCATGCTCCTTTCAAATCCACGTGCCTGTTCTGTTCCTTGTCCTCGTACTTGTTCATACTTTCTCTTCTAACAGGACATTCTCTCCTAACAGTTTCTTTCCACGTTGCCTTCTCCACCTCCCCCCTCCCCTTCCTCCTTCTCCCCTCCCCAACTCCCCCCCCCCACCTTCCCCATCCTTATCAGGTCTTCGAGCGGGATCTCACCGCGATTCGCGGCGAGGGGCAGTACCGCGGGCCGATTCAGATTCAGAGCAACGCGCTGGCGGCGCTGGAGGCGGTGGACCTGCGCGTGGCGGAGGAGGTGATGGCGGCGGGGTGCATCACGGGCGACCGCATCAACGGGCTCTGCGACGGGCTCACCGGCGAATGGTGCGTGCGACAGTCGCTTGTTTGTAGTTTTCTTTCTTTCTTTCTTTCTTTCTTTCTTTCTTTCTTTCTTTTTCCGGTCACATAAAGCACACACACGCACACACCAAAACAAAAACGGAAAAAAGGCTGTGATTACCAATGAACTTGAAGTTTCATCACCACACCACTATGTGGTATCCTCTCGTCTCCCTGTAATTCCCGTGCAATCCCACCAGGTACGTGAAGTTCGACACGTTCACGCCAGCGGCGGAGGGCGGGTTACCAGTGACGCGCGTGATCAGCCGCATGACTCTCCAGCAGATCCTCGTGGACGCCGTTGGGGAGGGCATTATCAGGAATGGGTTGACCGTCGTTGACTTTGAAGACCAGGGCAAGCAGGTGCGTTGACTATGAGGAGCTGGGCGCAATCGTCCCACCAAATGAATTTGAATTTCTACCTCTAGTAATGAAACCCCCCCCTCCCCCCGACACCCTCTCCTCGTCACACCCTGTTCTTCTTTCCCCACCTCTCCCCCTTTCCATGTGGCAAGTTTTCCTGTAAACGCACGGCGCACAACAACGCCGGTTCTCACTCTCTCCTCCCCTGCCCACAACCTCTCCTCCCCACAACCTCTCCACCCCACCCCACACCACCAGGTGGCGGTGAAGCTGAGTGACGGCAGCACGGTGTACGGGGACATGCTCGTGGGCGCGGACGGTATTCGCTCCAAGGTGCGTGAGTGCGTGCGTGCTGTCAGAGCTTCAAAAGTCAGGCTCTGAAACCGCCCTGAAGCCCTTGATACGATTTGATTCGAGGTCGCGAGGCATGTCGGGTGTGTATGGCAGGGGAAGGCAATTGGCTCACAAGCTGAAGAGCTGACGAGTTGTCAAGGCCTAGTGGCCTAAGATATACAGGGTTGTGCTTATAATGGGTAGAATATGTCCGATTTGACTCTTGTAGTGAACCGGGGCTGTGGGGAGGACCGGAGCTGTGGGGAGGGGAGGACCGGAACTTGACAAGATCACTTGGAGCCAACAAATAATTCACTTCTGCCCTCTCCTGTCTTGCTGTCTTTGGTGCATGGATGCGTGAATGCAGGTGCGGGACTTGCTGCTGGGAGTGACGGAGCCCACCTACTCGGACTACACGTGTTACACGGGCATCTGTGACTTTGTCCCGCATGACATTGAGACCGTGGGGTGAGTGGGAGGTGGCAAACCCTAAACCCTAAACCCTTGAGTTCAAGAAACTGCTGATGGAGCCTGTTGATTTGCTGTTGAGAGAGGCAGGTCGTTCTGTTTCTTTTGAGCCCACCTACTCGGACTACACGTGCTACACCGGCATCTGTGACTTGGTCCCGCATGACATTGAGACCATTGGGTGAGTGCCGTGCAGTGGATTCTGAAATCATTCCCTCGTCTGCTTCTGGTAGAGCATGCATGTTCCCTAACCAAGCCCACCTGTTCGGACTACACGTACTACACCGGCATCTGTGACTTTGTGCTGCACGACATTGAGACTGCGGGGTCTTGCCACCCGCATGGTCCACTCATCCATTATCCATACCCCTCCCCTCCCGCCCCCCTCCCCCTTCCTACCTCCCCTTCTCCCATCTCTTTCCCCCCTCTACCCACCCCCCGTCCCTCCCCAACCGGCTCCCAAACCGCCACATACCGCGTCTCTCTGAGGCACGGGCAGTACTTTGTGAGCAGCAAAACCTAACCCCTTCCCCAACTCATCCCCTTCCCCTTTTTTCCCCCCTCTTACCCCCCCATCTCTTCCCCAACCGCCAGGTACCGCGTGTTTCTGGGGCACCAGCAGTACTTTGTGAGCAGCGATTCATTAACCCCTGCCCCGACTCCCCCTCTTCCCCATCTCTTTCCCTCTTCAACCCACCATCCCACCCCCAACCGCCAGGTACCGCGTGTTTCTGGGGCACCAGCAGTACTTTGTGAGCAGCGATTCATTAACCCCTGCCCCGACTCCCCCTCTTCCCCATCTCTTTCCCTCTTCAACCCACCATCCCACCCCCAACCGCCAGGTATCGTGTGTTTCTGGGCCACCGGCAGTACTTTGTGAGCAGCGACGTGGGGTTTGGCAAGATGCAGTGGTATGCTTTCTACAACGAGCCTGCTGGCGGCTCTGACCCCCCTGGCTGTGAGTGCTACCAGGCACCCCTTGCTACATGCCAGGCACACATGCTCCCACACACATACATGCTTGTCAAAAGCATGTGGGGTTGGCCATATGCAGTGGTATGTTTTCTACAGTGAGCCTGCTGGCGGCTCCAACCCCCCCGGCTGTGAGTGGGTGCTGCACAGGCATGAGTAAGTGCTGCACACTGCACAGGCATGAGTAAGTGCTGCACACTGCACAGGCATGAGTAAGTGCTGCACACTGCACAGGCATGAGTAAGTGCTGCACACTGCACAGGCATGAGTAAGTGCTGCACACTGCACAGGCATGAGTAAGTGCTGCACACTGCACAGGCATGAGTAAGTGCTGCACACTGCACAGGCATGAGTAAGTGCTGCACACTGCACAGGCATGAGTAAGTGCTGCACACTGCACAGGCATGAGTAAGTGCTGCACACTGCACAGGCATGAGTAAGTGCTGCACACTGCACAGGCATGAGTAAGTGCTGCACACTGCACAGGCATGAGTAAGTGCTGCACACTGCACAGGCATGAGTAAGTGCTGCACACTGCACAGGCATGAGTAAGTGCTGCACACTGCACAGGCATGAGTAAGTGCTGCACACTGCACAGGCATGAGTAAGTGCTGCACACTGCACAGGGAGGCGATTGGTAGAGAGGGTGATGAGAGGCTGTGCGGCGATATACAGGGGTACGCCTTCTACAACGACCCTGCTGGCGGCTCGGCTCCCATCCTCCCTTTCCCTCAACCTCTTCCCCCCACCCGCCTCTGCAGGTCGCAAGGCGAGGCTGATGCAGCTGTCTGGCAAGTGGGCGGACGGGGTGGTGGACCTCGTTCAGGCCACCCCTCTCTGTGTGTTCCCACGACCCTCTGCACCTGTGCGCGTCTCCCCCCCGCAACTGCCCTTTCTCTCCCAGGTCGCAAGGCGAGGCTGATGGAGCTGTTTGGCAAGTGGGCGGACGGGGTGGTGGATCTCATTCAGGCCACCCCCGAGGAGGACGTGCTCAGGGGCGACATCTACGACTGCATTCCCATGCCCTCCCTCCACCCCCTTCTCGCTCTCTCTCTTGTGCCCCTTCCTTAGTCTGCCTCTCCTCCTTTCCCTCCCCCCTCTCCCTCTTCCCCCTCTCTCCCCACTCCCGCTCCCCCACTCCCATCTCTCTTTCAGGTCGCAAGCAGAGGCTGATGAAACTTTTCGGCAAGTGGGCGGACGGGGTGGTGGATCTCATTCAGGCCACCCCTGAGGAGGACGTGCTCCGGCGAGACATCTACGACCGCATCCCCATCCTGACGTGGAGCAAGGGGCGAGTCACTCTCATGGGCGATGCTGCTCATGCCATGCAGCCCAACATGGGGCAGGGCGGATGCATGGCTATCGAGGTGAGACGAGTGTTTGTTTGTTGAGTTGACACGCACTAGTTGACTCACAGAGCTGAGACATCTACGACCGCATCCCCATCCTGCAGTGGAGCAAAGGGGCACATTACTCTCATGGGCGATGCTGCTCATGCCATGCTGCTCATGCCATGAGGCCGAATATGGGGCAGGGCGGATGCATGGCTATCGAGGTGAGCTGACCTTTGAGTCGACTCAAAAGTCAACTCGGATGCATGGCTATCGAGGTGAGCTGACCTTTGAGTCGACTCAAAAGTCAACTCGGATGCATGGCTATCGAGGTGAGCTGACCTTTGAGTCGACTCAAAAGTCAACTCGGATGCATGGCTATCGAGGTGAGCTGACCTTTGAGTCGACTCAAAAGTCAACTCGGATGCATGGCTATCGAGGTGAGCTGACCTTTGAGTCGACTCAAAAGTCAACTCGGATGCATGGCTATCGAGGTGAGCTGACCTTTGAGTCGACTCAAAAGTCAACTCGGATGCATGGCTATCGAGGTGAGCTGACCTTTGAGTCGACTCAAAAGTCAACTCGGATGCATGGCTATCGAGGTGAGCTGACCTTTGAGTCGACTCAAAAGTCAACTCGGATGCATGGCTATCGAGGTGAGCTGTTTTTTTCCAGGCCTTGAAAGTGTGCCGTGGTGAAATTGTGTCATTCGTTGCCTCATTTACTCACTCCTTGGCTCACTCCCTCCCCCTCCCAGGACGGCTTTCAACTGGCCCTGGACCTTGAGAAGGCAGTGCCACTGCCATCCCATCCCATCCCATCGCTTCTCTCCTTCCCACACCCCTCCCTTCAAATCGCTCCCAGGACGGCTTTCAACTGGCCCTGGACCTTGAAAAGGCAGTGGAAGGGGCACAGAAGAAGAGCATCAGCAAGGGAGGGCAGCTGCGGCAGCACATGGACGTGGCGGGTGTGGTGCAGCAGTATGAGGCGGAGAGGCGGCTGAGAGTGGGGGCCGTGCATGGCATGGCACGCACAGCTGCCATCATGGCGTCTACCTACCGGGCGTACCTGGGGGAGGGCTTTGCCCCACTCTCGGTGAGTCAGTCTGTCTGTGTGCTCTCTAACCTCCCTACCTGTTGTGCACGGCATGGCGCGCACAGCTGCCATCATTGCGTCCACCTACTGGGCGTACCTGGGGGAGGGCTTTGCCCCGCTCTCGGTGAGTCAGTTTGTGTGGTACAGAGTCAGAGTGGGAAGTAAGAGGCTGAGAATGGGGGCGGTGCATGGCATGGCATGGCATGGCATGGCATGGCATGTCATGGCATGGCATGGCACGCACCGCTGCCATCATGGCTTCTACCTACTGGGCGTACCTGGGAGAGGGCCTTGCCCCGCTCTCGGTGAGTCAGTGTGTCCCCGTGTGTGTGCGTGTCTCAGCTCAGCCAGTGCGTGATGAGTCTCCTTATTGTGTCTCAGCTCAGGCAGTGCGTGATGAGTCTCCTTATTGTGTCTCAGCTCAGGCAGTGCGTGATGAGTCTCCTTATTGTGTCTCAGCTCAGGCAGTGCGTGATGAGTGTGATTCAACCATGAATTCATTGTGTCCTTCATGTCTGAGTCTCAGCCAGTGAATCAGTCCGTCCTGTTTCTCCTTTCCCCCACAAACAGCCTCCTATTCCATCCCTCCCACCCCACCATTTCCCCCCCCAGTGGCTGGTGAACTGGCGTATTCCGCATTGGGGTAAGATGGGCGGGCAGGTGGTGATGAAGCTCTTCATGCCCGCCATGCTCAAATGGGTGCTCACCGGCAACACGTGAGTGGTGGGGTGGGGTGGTGTGGGGTGGGGTGGTGTGGGGTGGGGTGGAGTGGGGTGGTGTGGGGTGGGGTGGTGTGGGGTGGGGTAGGGTGGGGTGGGGCGTGGGTGGTCAAGTCAGCAGGTGGTGATGAAGCTCTTCATGCCCGCCATGCTGAAATGGGAGCTCACTGGCAACACATGAGTGGTGGAGTGCGGTGGTGATGGGCGGGGGTAAGATGAGATTAGGCTTCACGTGAGTGGGTGTTGAGTAAGCATGGGAGTGGTTGGTCATACTCGAATGGGTGACTCACAAGCATTGCAAGTTTGGATCAACTCCCCTCTTCCTCTCCTCAAGTCTTCCTCTCCTCAAGCGTTCCTCTCCTAAAGTGTTCCTCTCCTCAAGTGTGCCTCTCCTCAAGTCTTCCTCTCCTCAAGTGTTCCTCTCCTCAAGTGTTCCTCTCCTCAAGCGTTTCTCTCCTCAAATGTTCCTCTCCTCAAGTGTTCCTCTCCTCAAGCGTTCCTCTCCTCAAGCGTTCCTCTCCTCAAGTGTTCCTCTCCTCAAGTGTTCCTCTCCTCAAGTGTTCCTCTCCTCAAGCGTTCCTCTCCTCAAGCATTCCTCTCCTCAAGCGTTCCTCTCCTCAAGCGTTCCTCTCCTCAAGCGTTCCTCTCCTCAAGCGTTCCTCTCCTCAAGTGTTCCTCTCCTCAAGTGTTCCTCTCCTCAAGCGTTCCTCTCCTCAAGCGTTCCTCTCCTCAAGTGTTCCTCTCCTCAAGCGTTCCTCTACTCAAGCGTTCCTCTCCTCAAGTCTTCCTCTCCTCAAGTCTTCCTCTCCTCAAGCGTTCCTCTCCTTAAGTGTTCCTCTCCTCAAGTGTTCCTCTCCTCAAGCGTTCCTCTCCTCGAGCGTTCCTCTCCTCAAGCGTTCCTCTCCTCAACCGTTCCTCTCCTCAAGCGTTCCTCTCCTCAAGCGTACCTCTCCTCAAGTGTTCCTCTCCTCAAGTGTTCCTCTCCTCAAGTGTTCCTCTCCTCAAGTGTTCCTCTCCTCAAGTGTTCCTCTCCTCAAGCGTTCCTCTCCTCAAGCGTTCCTCTCCTCAAGCGTTCCTCTCCTCAAGCGTTCCTCTCCTCAAGCGTTCCTCTCCTCAAGCGTTCCTCTCCTCAAGCGTTCCTCTCCTCAAGCGTTCCTCTCCTCAAGCGTTCCTCTCCTCAAGCGTTCCTCTCCTCAAGCGTTCCTCTCCTCAAGCGTTCCTCTCCTCAAGCGTTCCTCTCCTCAAGTGTTCCTCTCCTCAAGCGTTCCTCTCCTCAAGCGTTCCTCTCCTCAAGCGTTCCTCTCCTCAAGCGTTCCTCTCCTCAAGCGTTCCTCTCCTCAAGCGTTCCTCTCCTCAAGCGTTCCTCTCCTCAAGCGTTCCTCTCCTCAAGTGTTCCTCTCCTCAAGTGTTCCTCTCCTCAACCGTTCCTCTCCTCAAGCGTTCCTCTCCTCAAGCGTTCCTCTCCTCAAGTGTTCCTCTCCTCAAGTGTTCCTATCCTCAAGCGTTCCTCTCCTCAAGTGTTCCTCTCCTCAAGTGTTCCTCTCCTCAAGTGTTCCTCTCCTCAAGTGTTCCTCTCCTCAAGCGTTCCTCTCCTCAAGCGTTCCTTATTCTCCCTCATCGTCCCCCTCTCTATCCTTCAAATAGGTGACTTTTGAGTCGGCTCAAAAGTCTTCCGCTCCTCAAGTGTTCCTTTTCTCCCTCATCATCCCCCTCTATCCTTCATCACTCCTCCACTGCTCCCTTCTCTATTCCCTTCTCCCTCTCCACCCCCCCATCTCCTCTCTCTCCTCCTACTCGTCATCTCTGTTCCCCACTCACTTGCTCTTCTCCTGCAGGTTTGCATTGGAGGGCCGTGCGCCTTACTGCAGAATCACGGACAGGGTGAGTGATGGGAACGAGTGGGGTAAACGCGTGGGGGTATTGTAAGGCAAGAGACAATAATTTTGTTGTCGTTTTTAGTCCAAAAAATAGCTGGCTCATTTACTTGATTCCCTGCTCCATATTCCCTCCCCTCACCCCATCACTACCAGGCGGATTCGAATCTAGCCAAGTGGATGGACGATGACGATGCATTGGAGAGAGCAACCGATGCAGAGTGGTTCCTGCTGCCTGCTGCGGACCGCATGCCCCTCACCGGCGCTCTCACTGACTCTGGCCGCCCCATCCTGCCTCTGGCAATCGCCACCACCCCCGAAGGCGCTCCCCCTACCACCATCACGTCGGCCATCACCATTGTTGGGTGAGTGAGGAGAGAAGAGAACCCACAGCATGTGACTCTTGTAAGGCCTGTTACTCCTTCTGGACGCCCCATCCTGCTGCGGACCGCATGCCCCTCACCGGCGCTCTCACTGACTCTGGCCGCCCCATCCTGCCTCTCGCTATTGCCACCACCCCGGAAGGCGCCCCCCCTACCACCATCACCTCTGCCATCACTATCGTCGGGTGAGCCTCCCTTGTTGTATTCCCTTCTTGCATCTCCTGTGTGTCTCACCTGACCTCACCTTCTCTCGCCTTATCTCCCCTCCCCTCCTTCTGTCACCTCCTCTCACCTGCCCCCACTTACTCTCACCTGCTCTCACCTGCTCTCACCTGCTCTCACCTCCTCTTACCTCCTCACACCTCCTCTCACCTGCTCCCACCTGCCCTCACCTACCCTCGCCTGATGTCACTTGCTCAGACCTGATCCCACTTGTTCGGACCTAATTCCACCTGCTAACCCCTGCGTACCACCTTATCTCCTTTCTCCTCACTTCTCCACCTTTCCCCCTTCCCAGCAACACACACCTCCCTTTCTCCCTCTCTACAGCTCTGCGGAGTGTGCGCCTGCCAGCGGCACAGCAGCACTCATCTCTCTCTTCCCCCCGCCTCCCTTCTACACCCCTCCCTTCTCCCACACTCTCTCTGCAGCTCTGCAGAGTGTGCGCCTGCCAGCGGCACAGCAGCGGTCATCTCACTGCCTGGGGTGCGTACCCCTTGCTTTACACTCATACTCGTGCTCAACACTCAGATGCACACACACACACACACACACACACACACACACACTCACTCACTTCCTCCATTACAGCGATCTTTCTGTCTGTGCGGACACTTGCTACAGATCAAGCACACTGGCGCTAACACCAGCCCTGCTTGCACCTGTTGTTTGCTGTTGCAAAAGTGTCATGCTCACGTTCTCCTTACCATCCGTTTATGCATCTGCCATTTAATTGCATGGACATGTCATGGCTCCGGCACGACACGACATGGCATGGCATGGCATGGCATGGCATGGCATGGCATGGCATGGCATGGCATGGCACGACATGGCAGGTGGAGGAGAAGCACTGCCGCATTGAGAGTCGCAGTGACCACACCTTCTATGCAACAGACCTCAGCCAGACCCAGGGCACCTGGCTTGTCAGGTGGGTTGCTTTCAGGGGCACCTGGATTGTCAGGTGGGTTGCTTTCAGGGGCACCTGGCTTGTCAGGTGGGTTTCTTTCAGGGGCACCTGAATTGTAAGGTTGTAGCTTGTTTTCCGTACTTATAGCTTGTAGGTAGGCCTTAAAGGCCTTGGGCAACATGACTGTCTTAACAGCGCTTTCCTACTCCTAGTTTTTGAGTCAACTCAAAAGTCACCCTTTCTTAACAGCGCTCACTCCAGGGTCCCCCGAATGCCTTTTCAGTTAGTCACCCTTTCTTCCCCCCTCCCCCCTGCAGAGTGGATGGAGCGCGGTCAAGGCTCACTCCAGGGTCCCCTGAACGCCTGCACCCTGGTGACTCCCTCCAGTTTGGACCCAACACCGAGGTCAGTTCTCCATCACTGTTGAACTCGCCTTTGAACCGACCTTTTCTTTATTTAGCTTGTATATGCGACCTTTATGGTGCAGGGTGTAGTCCTGTGTAGCTTCCTCTGACCTTGGTGCATGTGTCTTGAGCATGTGTGATGTGACACGCTGCAAGCAGGCTCTCTTCCGTATCAAGCTGAGGAAGGCACAAGACGGTGGCAAGGCCAAGGATGTGTTGGCAGCTGCGACTGCCTGACTGGGGTCTCGAGCACGAAAAATTGGGGTCGAAATGTGCATGCGAATCAATCTGCTATGTCGGTTGGTAGTTCTTTTGTACAGTGCTGCACCTTATGTGAGCATCATTGCATAGATCTCTGCTATTGAGAAAGCTTGCTTTCTTTCTTATCAATTGGCATCGTTCTCATTACAAATGGTTCTCATTACAAATGGCGAATTACAACATTTGCATCATCGTTCGACATAAGCTAGTGCGGACTAATAACACTAGCTATTATGTACCCTATCCAAGTGGCATTAGCAAGGCGGTTTACACTGGGGTGGGTGGTGGGAATGTTGAGTGAGCCGTTTGAAAATTGAGAAACGTGGGTGGAGGGAAATGAGCTCCAACCCACGGTTTTTGTAGTTGGAGAAGGGCGTTTAGCGCGCTTCGACGATGCCAATTGTGCAGTACAAGCAGCTTCGCTTTCACAATACACAAATTTAAAAAACACTACATGTGTGTTTAAAAATTATAATATTGAGAAAGCTTGCTTTCTTTCTTATCAATTGGCATCGTTCTCATTACAAATGGGGTCTCTGAGACATGGGCAGCGGGGGCCTCCGGTTGCGTACGAGTGCCTCTGTGTGTTGCGCCGATGACACCGCATGCGTCGAATCTTGTAGGGTACGGGAGGCTTCGATGAGGGGCTCGACGTATGGCGTAACATACATTTCCTTTGCTGTGTCGCTTCGCCATCTGCCCAGCCGTTTGAAGACTCTGTCTGGCACTCCCGTGTTGGCTGCTACTGTGGCTGCACCTTTTCGGAAAGAATGGGTGCCTAGCTGCAACTCTCCAAGGCCAACCTTTGCGAAGGCTTCCTTGCACCAGTTCCGGATCGTAGTGTATGAAGGTGGCCTAGCCTGGCCCTCGCTGGTTGAACCGTGACCGAAGACACGAATCAATGGTCCCTCTGACCGTGGGCCATAGCCAGCGAGTCGGATGAAGCGTCGGGTGCAGCGCACTGGGCAGCAGGGGTCCGCCGTTGATGCAATGGGTATCCAAGTGCCGTGACCAGCTTGATCGGTCTTGGAGTGTGGTATGAGAATCCACATGACCTCGTCGTCGAATTGGATGTCTTGCCATTTTATGGCTACTAGGTCAGAGTATCGCAGGAATCCGGAGTACATGAGGATGGGTATCAACCCTTTATGAAATTGCGCAGGATCGTCGGACTGCAAGTAGCTCGCGGCCATTTCCTGGACTTGTTGGATCGAGACGGGTTCCTTCAGACGAGTAGGGCGTGGGCAGTGTCGCTTTGCATAGTCACGGACTTGGGTGGTGAACGGTCCGGTTGTCGGGCATTTGCTCCCGGTCATGCGATGGGCGAAGCTGACCGCCGAGCAGGTTAGCTGCACTACGGACAGGGTGGCTTTGCGTCGGATTGCGTGTACCAGGTATAGCGCGAGGGTCATGTCGGATGCCGGGAGGAATGGAAGGTTCACTTTTGTGCAGAAGGCTCGAAACTTGGCCTAGTATGGTTCATATGTCCGGATCGTAGAATCGGCGCGGGACTGCGCGAGCATGTTGATCAGTTGGTCGTGTAACTTTGGGAGCAAATCTGAGCGCAAGGTGTATATATTTTGAATTAGTCAAATGCCACTCGCAGTGCAATGATTGGGCTGTGCGGTAGTCCCATGCCCGAAAAAGCAGTTGAATGGGACCCTACGTCTAGGCATTGGCTTCCGTGTGTCAGAGGGATGTGCGCGTGGATGTGTGGTGCCCAAGTGCGTGGGGAGGGTTGCAAGAGTGGCCACCAGCTTGCGCCTGGCCAGTGCGGAACTATCAGTGTGAGTGATGCATGGGTGCGTTGTGCGTGATGGAGGACGGCTGGGACCAGTTGAGGTGGGGGGAAGGCGAAGTTGTTTTCAGGTGTCCACGCGATCGAGAACGCATCAACTGCAATGGCTGCCGGGTGGGGAATCTTTGAACAGAAGCGCAGCAGTTGGGTGTTGCGGGAGTTTGCGAAAAGGTCGATGGAGTGAGGACCCCAACGACGTTCCAAGATCCGGAACCACGGCGTTTTCAGCGCGTAATCGTCGTGGTCGACCATTTTTGAAAGCTCGTCGGCGTGTGTGTTGAGCTCGCGCGGAATCCATTCAATGATCAAGCGCGTGCCGAGCGCCATGCATGTTCGGATGATGCTCTTGCATGCCGTTGTGAGGTCGGGGCTGTGAGAGCCGCCTTTGCGAAGGATGAAGAATACGCCCTGGTTGTCCACCCGCACGAGAACGTGTTTTTGCTTGATCTTGTTCGCGTACGTTTGTAGCGCCCAAAGGACGCCTTCGATCTCCCGTCGCGTGCTGGACGTTCCTCGTAGCGGCTCTGACATGGTTGCGCTAGCTTCTTCGATGCCACCCGGAAATGTGGTCAGAGTGGCGCCCCAACCATGAGAGCTGGCATCCACGTGGATTACCGCGTCGTAGCTGTTCTTGACGTGAAAAGGTGCGCCGTTGAAACGGTCGAACTCCTCGAGCCAAAATTGGAGCTCTTCTGCTGCAGATGGGGGGATAACGACGCTGCTTTTCCATGACGGTGCGTTGTCGATCACTTGTAACATAGCATGGCTGAATGCGCGAGCTGTCGCGCCAAGTGCGACACCCATCGATGCGAGCATGCCAGTGATTCTGGCCACGTGGCGGACCGGGACTGGTCGGCATGCCTTGCTTGCGCTCAGGAGGTTCCGGATGGTTGCATGTAGTGAGGCTCGTCGGTCCGGACCGATGGAGAATCGGCCAGTATCGGTCTCGAGTTCTACGCCCAGGAATCGGAGACGCTGCGATGGTGACAGTTGTGATTTCTTCGCGTTTATCACAAGGCCTGCCTCTTTAAGATCCAATATTACCCGCTGGCAAGTTGCTTGCGCGTCCTCTTTCGACTGGCAGAGAAATAAGATGTCGTCCACGTAAGGTACAACTCGGATGCCTTGTTCTCGCCAACGCCGAGCTAGTTGCTTGATGAGCTGCGTGAAAACGAATGGAGCTGTCGCGAGGCCAAATGGTAGTGAACGGAATGCGTATGTGCGCTTATCAAATTCAAAGCCAAAGAACTTCCAGCACGATGGGTGGATGTCGATGTGGTGGTAACCAGATTTGAGGTCAATGGAGAACATCCAGTCCCCAACGCGCGCAAGGTCGGCGACGCGGCTGAGCCCTTCGTACTTGAACTTGGGGATGATCAAGTTGGCGTTGACTTTCCTCAGATCAAGAATGAGCCTGCATTTGTCTTTTTGCTCGACCACGTTGAGTGGACTTATGCATGTAAGCTCCGTTGCGGCCATCGGAATTGCCGCTCCCGTCTCTATGAGTTCTTGGATGGCGGTACGTGTGAACGTGTCATGCGTGTTTGCCCCGACATGATTGCGATCTTGGAAATGTTGCGGTGGGTCGTGGCTCCATGGCAACCAGTAACCCTTGGCGATGACGGAGAGGACAAGGCTGCTGGGGCACCATGAGCTCCACCACGCAAATGTCGCGCGAAGACGACCGCGCATGTGTGTAATAGTTCTGTCTGTAACGGCAAATTCGTACGGATCGTCGTGGCATGCCGCCTCGCACCGTCGTGCTCCTGTACATTTGAGGCCAAGTGGTATAAGCTTTGAGTATTCCACGTTAAAGCATGCGTATGCATGTACTTGTACGGGCAACCATTGATCGAAGGTGTGAAGAGAATGAACAATTGAATGAAATGTCAACGAATGTGTCGGGAATGTTAACGCATGTCAACGCATGTCTCTTCTTCTCCTCGTTTCCCCTTTTTTTTTTTTTTTTTTTTTTTTTTTTTTTCTTGCCCCGTCGTCCACTTGGTAGGACATGGTTGTGCCTGCCCTTAGTGCGTAGGGGCTGATGCCTAGGGCCATGGACACCGTTGTCCATTGTGCTTTCTCTCATTCTCTCTTATCTCTCTCTCTCTCTCTCTCTCTCTCTCTCTCTCTCTCTCTCTCTCTCTCTCTCTCTCTCTCTCTCTCTCTCTTTCTCTCTTTCTCTCTCTTTCTCTCTCTCTCTCTCCCTCTCTCTCTCTCTCTCTCTCTCTCTCTCTCTCTCTCTCTCTCTCTCTCTCTCTCTCTCTCTCTCTCTCTCTCTCTCTCTCTGCTCCTCCTCTTGATTTTCATAGTCTCTTTGCCAAAACCATAGGCCTTTAGGAAGGTAGTTTTTATTAAATCAACCAACACACATAGCAATGCTTTCCTAGCATGCCACCAAGTGGCCAACATATGGGACCGAGGGGTTGTTGTTCCCCTTCCCTATCCTAGGCCCAAGCCTATCCCACCCTTTACTAGGGCTGGCCTCTTGCCATCGCAAACCCCTAGGGTTGCCCACGGTTTTCGCACTCAAGAGTGCACCGTGCCTAGCGCCCAAGCGCCTAGTCTCATGGCCCGCTCCTACACCACCGGAGCGGGTCCCTGGCCTCCATGCCCGTTCCGAGGGCAGGCACTTGCCACGTGGCCCGGCTGGCCGCAGCGGAAGCATGAGCCCCGGAACCCACGGCAATTGGCCGTGGGCGGGGGGCCTCGCTTGGGTAAGAACGGCATCGGCCCGTTGTTTTCGCCGCGGTTGACACGAGCGTATCCGCTTGCCGCACGGTCCATCGCCGCCATGTCCGCGACCGCCTGCTTGAAGGGTCGAGTAGTCAGCAGGCTCTTCTGCTGGTACAGCTTAAAGCGCTTCGCCGTGCGAAAGTCGGAGGCGTCCTCCACTTGAAGCACCTCGAAACGCCCCGCGATGAGGTTGAGAGCGTGTGAGATGAGTTCGAGTCCGCCCGCCGGATCACCGCGCTGCGCCTTGTATTCCGCGTGCAGCAGGTACGCCCGCAGGTCCTCCAGTAGCTCCGCTTGCTCTCGCACGGAGTCGTTGACGAAGGTTGCCGCCGAGAAGGTAAGATTAGAAGAAGGGAGGGGGGGAAGGTTTTCCGTGCCAATAAAATTAACATTGTTGACTGGAGCCTCACCGGCTTCATCTTCAGAGTCGTCGGTGTCGTTGTCGACCGCTGGAGCAGGGGGAGCGGCAGTCGCTGCGTCGTTGTCATGCCGGTTCGTCCGTGCTCCCCGTGTGCCTTTCTCCTTTTTTGCAGTTTCTTTTTTAGCCGACGCAGATGCGGCGGGTAGTGCAGTTTCCGCGGCTGTAACGCTGACGGGTTGCTGCTGTAGAAGGGACAGCAGCGCGTTGACCTGGTCCGGGGTCAACGCCTGCGTCAGCGCAGGGGCGGCGGTCGCGTCAGACGAGGAGACTGCAGTCCGCCTCCTCTGACGCTGACGCGACGGTCCAGCAGCGGGTGCTGGCGTGTGCTCGGCGTCAGTCGCGTGTGCCGCGCCAGTCCCCGTCGCCACTTGCGCCACAGGTGCCACTGGCGCCACAAGCGCCACTGGCGCCACAAGGACCGAAGGGTGCTGCTGAGTTTCGGCGTTTTTGTGGACCTCGAGCCCGCCCAGCAGCACGTCCACTGCAGTCGGGGCGGAAGGTCCGTCTTCTGCCCGACGCTTGTTACGGCGTTCGCCCGCAGAATCGCGGGCGTTACGGTCGGAGTCGGAAGCGGGGGTTGACGAGTTCCCGTTGTTAAGTGTCGGCGTAGGTGCCATCGTTGAGCGATTGAAGTTGAAAATGTCGCTGAGTAAAGTAGAGGGTGACTCGCCTCTAGGAAGCGATTTAATCCTAGCCAGCTTGGAGGGAAAAACTACTCGAGCGGAAAATGTTGAGTGAGCCGTTTGAAAATTGAGAAACGTGGGTGGAGGGAAATGAGCTCCAACCCACGGTTTTTGTAGTTGGAGAAGGGCGTTTAGCGCGCTTCGACGATGCCAATTGTGCAGTACAAGCAGTTTCGCTTTCACAATACACAATTTTAAAAAACACTACATGTGTGTTTAAAAATTATAATGTTGGTGCATCTGTATCCCTGTGCTTGTTTGATGGAACACACTGGAAGTTACGTTATTCATTCTCAACCTAGGATGCTTGCAACTTACTAGCAGAGGTTACTTTCCTGCATGTGGGGGATAGAATTAGGGCTTGTTCCTACGGTCCCTTATCAGGCCAACCTCCTACCAAGGTAGTAGACTTTCTTCACATCATGCTGAAACTCACCGATGAAACCAAAAACCCTTTGCATATTGTGTTAGGGAAGAGGATTGCCTGATAAGAGCAGACCCACGCCCTTTACCAATAACGCAGGTAATTCAACCTTACCATCAGGAATCAATACCCGGCAACTAAAAGCAGCAAGGGTTAAGAACAATTAGGGTAACTAGACATATCATCACCATTTAATGTAATTCTGTAACCTGGACCCAATAATGATCTCATTCCATCTGAAGGTCTGAGTGTGCGCGAAGGTTGGTGATAATCTGGTTACCTACAATACCAGATCTTATTGAACACAGCAAACAAACCATTAGTCATCAAAACTGGTGCACCTTTAATTTACAGTTTCACATCAACAAAAAAGAGTGTCTAAACCTATGGACGGAGGACTCATCGCCGGCCGCTGGCTTCCTCAGCAGCCAGGTCGAACATCCGCTCCAAAGCATTCATGTTCTCCAACGTCTCACTCACTGTCCTCGCGTCACTGCCATCGCTCCTGAGGTGGGTCATGGGTCCGTGGAGAATCTTGTTCACAATACCCTTGCTCAGCTCCTCAATCAGCTTCTTCTGCTTCTTAGTCGGCTCCTCGCCCATCTTCGCCAGGATTCTGTCCAGCTCAGCCTGTCGAATGCCCTCAATCTTCTGCCGGAGCTTCTTAATGGTCGGAACCGTCTCCAGGGAATCCCTCCACGCGTCGAAGGCCTGAAGCTCCTCCTCAATGATAGCCTGAGCCTCAAGGGCCTTCTTTCTCCGCTCCTCCTTGTTGGCAGCAACCACCTCCTTCAGGTCATCGACGTTGTACACCCTGGTCTGCTGAACGTTGGCCACGCAGGAACCAACATTGCGAGGGACGGAGATATCGATGAAGTGCCTGACGCCGTTGGTCAGATCGCCAGCAGGGCCGAGGCCCTGAACGTTGGACTCCTCGAAGAGAAGAGTCTCCGAAGCTGTGCTGGTAAAGACAACCTCAGCCTCAGCCGCTGCTTGCATCATCTCAGGAAGAGGCCTGTAGAGAAGCGTGGCGTCCGGAAATTCAGACTGCAGCGTCTCTACACTGCCTAGGGACCTGTTCACAACGGTCATGGTGTTGCAACCCTTAGAGAGCAGATGCTTCACAAGGAGACGTGACATCTTCCCAGCGCCGACGATCATGACGCGAGCTTCCTTCAGGCCAGCTTCGGGAAGCTTCATCGCGGCGAGCTCAACGGCAGCAGAGCTGACGGACACGGCACCCGAGGCGATGCTGGTCTCAGTACGCACACGCTTGCCGGCCTCGATCGCCTGCTTGAAGAGACCGTTGAGATTGCGTCCAAAGCCCTCGGCTCCCTGGCCAACCTTGAAGACCTGCTTCACCTGAGCGAGGATCTGACCCTCTCCGAGCACCAGGGAGTCAAGGCCAGAAGAGACGCGGAGAAGGTGCTGCGTAGCGTCCCTTTGACGGAGCAGGAAGAGATGCGGGCGGAGCTCTTCAACGGGAACACCGCTCGACTGTAGGGAGGTACGAAGGGAAAATACGAAAGGGAAGGACTAAATGGACGGAACAGTCTTTGAAAACCTATGAGATGAATGGTGATCATGCTGCACGGCTTGATTTGTGAAGCAGAATCAGCTTACCTTTGACATCCACTCAGTGACCTCGCGAATGCCCCTGTGCCAGGAGAGCGCCACGACGTAGATTTCCATGCGGTTGCATGTGCTCAGAACACCAGCTTCCTCAATGTGGGGGTACTCGCAGAGCTCTGTAATGGCGCGTGGCCACTCGGCTTCAGGAACGGCGAGCTTCTCACGCATCGAAACGGGAGCGGTGTGAACGCTTAGACCGACGACAATGATGCTGCTCTTCTCGCTCGTGTACCCTGAAGCGCAACAGGGGTAGGATGGAACAATGTGTGATTATCTGAATGAATTAATCTTCCGTTGCGGTCATGGTTTCAATTCGGGAAGCAAAAGCGAACTGTGAGTGAACACAAAAGGTTCAGCACGTACTGTTTGTATTGGAGACCCTCAATTGCTCGAGAGCGGCAGCGCTGCTAGCTCGGAGCTTGTGAGTCTTGGGAGGGCCAGACGACAGGGAAGCTGAGACGGGAGCGATTGTCCTGGCGACAGGAACGGCCTGACGATGAGCGACATTAAGCTTCTCCCCAAGCAACGAGCTTTCCTTGAGGTGAACCTGCTCCTTGGCCTTGAAGGCCTCCACACCTTCCGCGCGGGGAAGGGTGGAAATCCCACGAGCAGCAACATAGCTGACGGAAGCCATGTCCGGCTTGTCGGGACAAACCAGTCAGAAAGGAAGACTGACGACTGGGGGAAGGATCGAAAAATCGATCACCTCGTGCAAGCTAACCTCCAACGGTTAGCTTTCCTCGAGTAAAGACGACACGAGGAGAGCTCGTTGGAGAGTTATGGCTGCCGTGAGATAAAAGATCCAGGAGTGTGTCAAGCGGATGTCATCAGATGACTGGGCAGAGCAGAGTTTCCTAGGCGAAACCAGCCTTGGGGGAAGCGGTAGCAGCTGGCTCCCCAGTTGCACAGGGAGCATCCTGGCTAGGCTGCCTGGCTCGGCTCGCTTCTCCAGGCAAGGGGGCATCGTGTTCGCCGGATTCTGTCGCCAATAACTGTGGGGTCATGGAAGTGCGAATCTGATTCCTCATTCGCTGTCGGGATCACGAAAGCGAGCCACGTCGGATACAGTGACTCTGGAGGCGACCACGTCATTGGACCGCTGTTGGTAAGGTTGATGAGCTCTGGGTGACACCACGACCCCCAGCACTTTCGGGGTGCTTGTGACACCACCAGAGCTTCAGGCTTGGAATATCAAAATTACCAGGCCTAGCCTCGAAACGCAGTCATAGGAGGAGAAAATCACTCGCCATCTTTCGCACTGATTCTGGAATGTCTACATGTTACAGGGCCACTTCTGCTAGCAACCCTGTTGACCTTTTAACAAAAGAGAATGCCGTTTTTTACCCAAACAGATGAAAAATCCCAAATCTGCTATGCAAAATATGGTTCATGCCTCTTGCACAGCTTACATCCTGGTGAATGTATGTCATAAAACAAGTGGACCATGCAGTATGCTCGAATTGGGTATGGGACAAGTACGTACGAATATACAACAAGAAAACACAATGTTTCTCTTGCACGTTCTACATGATGCAAGTAGTTTCCAAACGGTCCATGCACTTATGGAACTCAACCAAGCGTTGCTGTGCATATGACATGTAGTCAAACCCTGCATCTGACACTGCAGCCTGCACATATAAAGCCGAGGATAACAGGAAAGGTGAAAAATGAAGGTGAACACATGCGTAAAACCACGAGAGGAAATGCTTCCCAACACCATCATTCATGAGGCACCCCCAAAAACAAGCGCAGTAACTTACCGAAATAATGCCCCACAGGAACCAATGTAGATGGCACACAGGAAGAAACACATCCACTGCTTGCATCAGCTCCTCAGCAACACTTTCATCGAGGCTGCTTGTAAAGGGGACACCCCTTCTAGTGGTGCTGGTTTCACTAGCGCTTAAACATGCATCAGCAGGAGAGGTAGGATTGGCAGCAAGGTAGCAGTTAATAAACCACCGTTGCTCGTCCTCAGCTGAAAGCAAATAGAGCGGAGGACCAGAATAGCCAGAAGAAAGGGAGGAAGGGGGGGACAGTAGGGGGTCGGTTGGCACAATAGGGGATTTCGCAGCTAGTGTGGCGTGGTTTCGAATGGTATGGTGTGGTGTGGTGTGGTGTGGTTTGAAAGCAATATGGGAGGGAATGACAAAGTCACTTGAGCAAGGATAATATCTTCTATACTTCATGGCTTGGTGGCGCCGATGTTCACATGCGAATGCTGACAAGGATGTGATTCATTCCAGGAACAGCTTCTAGAACCAGGTCAGCAAAACAGCTCCCAGAAACACCTCACAGAAGCAGCAAACAGAAAGAACTTTCAGGGCACCTGCTGTAGCGCCCTCACAGGGACCGCTTACAGGGGTACTTGGAGTAGTCGAGGAGGTGTGGGTGCGGGCGGTCGTAGTCAGCTGCCATCTCACAGAAGTGGTTGGCAATGTCACACGCCACGTGTGCATAGCCACTGTACTCGTAGTCCTGAGCGGGTGGATAATGGGCGAGGCGACGGACATGATGGGAGGAGGGGATGGAACGGGACAGGAGCGAGGGAGGGAGGATGCAGAAAGCACAAGCTGTACTTTTAGTCCTGAATGGTGGGAGATGGAGAGGGGGCGAGGTGAGGTGACGGAACGGAACAGGACAGCAGCAAGTGAAGGGAGGATGCAGAAAGCTCAAGTGGTTGCCTGCCACATGGCAGGTGCATGCACGTCCCTGCCACTTGCCCAGTTCTTGAAACGTCTCGAAGTTTTGCAGTGCCTCGTGATTTTATTTTTGTTTCAGACGTCTCAACACTTGCCTGCCGCAGCAAGCACATCCCTGCCACGTGCCCACCAACCAGGCACCACCCAAACCCAGGCCAAACAGTACAGGCAACCATAACGAGAAACCAGAACTGCTTACAATGAGGATGATCCTCCCCGTGCCTCTCTCCTGCAGTATGTTCCCGTGTTGCACATCCATGTGACACAGCCCCACCCACCGCCCACTCTCCCCCCCTTCACTCCCCCCCTCCGCCTCCGCCTTCCCCTCTTCCTCCCCGCACCCCTCCCCCCACCGCCTGTGCGCTGCTGCCTCCAGCCTGTGAATCTTCTCCCCCAGCTGTCGTGGGTTTGCCCCGTGCACGCCCCAGGGGTGCAGCAGCTGCGCCAGGGATAGCCAGCGCCTGGGGGAGGGGAAGGCAAAGTGGAAAGTAAACTAAGGAAAACAAAGAGGAAGCAAGAGTGAGCGTGCTGCTGCCTCCAGCCTGTGAATCTTCTCCCCCAGCTGCCGTGGGTTTGCCCCGTGCACGCCCCAGGGATGCAGCAGCTGCGCCAGGGACAGCCAGCGCCTGAGGAAAGGAAGAGTGGCGGGCACAGGGATCGAATGGGTGCGGTTGTGGGAGGAGAGACACTGTGGAAGTACATCGGCTAAATCTGTATTTTAAGAATCCTAAAAAAAAAAAAAAAAAAGCGGAGAGAGAGGGAGGAAGTACATCGGGCGACTAGTCATCCAGCGTTGGGGGGGTGCCTACAAAGACCGACTGACGGGCAAGAGAGAGAGAGAGAGAGACAACCAAGCAGGACCACCACCTCCTCCTTAAGTTCGATCCGTGGGGGGAGTGCCTGCACAGCGTTTCTATTCTAAGCTCCACAGCCCCCGACCTAAAGCAGGCAAGAGGCGACCTTCTGAGGTGATATTGAGACGCCTCAAAAGCCATTGCAAGTGCAAGACCTACTGGCAAGAAAGGGCACCGGCACAAGGGAGTAATGACCCACCCACCGCAGGCAGGATCACAAGCACGAGACGATCTCTCCCGGGGCACCTTGTGAGGCGCCTCAGACATTATGACCTACTGGCAGGTGAGTGGCACCAACTGGCGAGTGGCACCAACTGGCGAGTGGCACCAACTGGCGAGTGGCACCGACAAGTGAATAAGCGATGGCCTACCGCAGGCGGGACCAGAGGCACGAGGCGACTTTCCCAGCTGCAGTGCCTGGGAGGAGGAGCGCATGGAAGTGCCGCATGCACCGTGCGATCTGCCGGGATGTCTCTGGTTGCCTCATCTCCCCTGCTGTCAGTGGCTGTGTGTTGGGAGGGGGAGGGGGAGGGGGAGGGGGAGGGGGAGGGGGAGGGGGAGGGGGAGGAGAGTAAGGAGGGTGGAGGGACACGTTGAACACAAACTCGTTTCTCTTGTCGCGTCAAGCAAACATGACCTAGGCACGAAACAAAGCGAAACGACCTCCCTCCAAGGTGAAGTGCCTGGGAGAAGCAGCGAGTGAGAAGTGCCTCATGGACCATGCGATATCAAGGGTATTCAAGGCAATATCAAAGTCTACATCTCACTCACCTTGGCTTGCAGAAACTCCTCCACCCTGCCAGTGCCGAACGAGGCCAACAGCTTCGGTCCCAAGCCTAGGTCGGACATGGCTCGGGTGACTGCCTCCTCGTGTTCCCTCTGAAACAGCATTGTTGTCGCTGGGCCATACAGCCGCACCAACACCCGCTTCTCTCCTGAATGGTCCTCCTCCTCCTCCTTTGACTCCTTGGCTTTGCTCTCCCGTGGCTCGTTCTTCCTGGTAGGCACCCACACACACTCGTATACCTACGCAGAATGCAGAGAACGGGGGACAGCAAATGAAGAAATTGGAAACTGAAGCCGTGATTGGCCAGGTAGAATTGTGCACAGATGGCAGCAAGGTCCAGTGGCTACAGTATTCGCTGCCTTGCCTACCACATACAGCAAGATGTAGAACGAAAAGAACATAAGACCGCCCCAAAGAAGATTGACACGAAGGTAGAAGATATGTTGCCATGCTCAATCCGACACCACAAACTGACCCAGTCGTCGTCCTCTCGTCAACCTGTTCTTCATGCTTGCATGCACTCATGCACTCACCGTGTTGGTCATTGCTGCACTCATGGGCTTCAGAACCACATCACCTCCCTCCAACGCCTCATCTTCGTCCCCCTCCTCCCCAGCTCCCTCTCCCTCCCCTCCCTCCCCCCTATGCAACCCTCTCTGGTTTTCATTCGTCTCCAAAACATGCCCATCAGGAATTCTTCCTCCCACTGCCTCCTTACTCCTCCATATCTTCCTCACAGCTCGTAAAGCCGGGCGCAGTGACGAGATCGCAGCCGTCGCCTGAGATCTGACGGCTGAAATCGAACCCTCAAGAGGCTCCTGACTCTGTTGCAATCCAGGCCGTTCAGTAAGCTCCGTGCTCACTCGCGCATCCAATTGCAACTGCTTTGGCAAGTCAGCATCGGTAAGAGCAGGACCAGCACGTCTACCAAGATCAGCAGAACCAGCAGGACGATCTGCAAGTCTGTCCTCTTCGCTAGGTTTGTTTGCAAGTGCGCCATGATACCTGCTTCCGCGAGACTTGATTGCAACTGATTCACTGATAAGATCATTAGCACCCAATTCCTGAATCTTATAATCTTGCATCTCTCCACCACCCGATGTGCTTTCCTCGCGCGTGCTCGTGACTGCAGGTACGCGGCCAAGCCCCACGTCGTCATTCCCAAGGTTCACCACCTTAACTTGCGACGTTTTCCTTGTAACCAGCACCATTTCGCACTCAAAATTAAACTGTTCGTCAATATCGCTTTCCTGATCCTTCTGGTGCTGGAGTCGCAGCGAAAACTCTTCGTCAACGTTCTCTGCCGACAGCGTGATTGTGGGAATGTCGAAGGCCGCTTCGACGGAGTCGGCTCGGTCAAGACCTCGCGAGCAGCGGAGCGCCGTTAGCACGCCACGGGGAGAAAGAAACTCGGTATAAGATGAAGCGCTACACGTTAGATAATCCTCCATGGTTCTTGACAACCTTCATTCTTCTCCACCGGAGGAAAGACCTGAGCGGACGAGCCTTACCAATCGCACCGTTAACGATATCTTGTGTCGCTACTGAAGGACAACATGCGTGGCTGAGAATGAACACCAACCACACGCAACGGACCCCTAACTATAGAAATGGAAGAAGAAGCAGCTTCAAGAACGATTGAGGGGTCTGGAAATCCGAAGAGCACGAAACGTTTGAGTGATGCGGATAAATTGGAAGACACTGCTAAAATCGAAGAGTAGACAGGCAGACAGCACTTGATTCACACACCGAATGGCCTTGCGGAAAGTGAATTCGCCCTGCGTGTTGCAACGAGTCCCAAGTTCTCCTAATGAGGGAGACAGCCGCCACAGCGGGGGCTGCATCGCATGCAGGGCAGCGAGTGCCTGCGGCTGGGCTGTGCGTGCATGGCGGAGCGGGCGATGTGTAAAGCGTGACGCCCTGAAATGCGGGATGGACGGGGAGAATGATGTGAGATTTGGCTCATGCCTGGGTTTGGTGCGTCGCTGCCATCGTTACAATCACAAGCTCGAGTTAGTCATCTGACAGCACGACTGGTCCACGTGGTCGTAAGGCACAGGTCGATACAGGGAGCAACTATCCAGTCGTTCCGTACGGTTTCGTCTTTCACAGAAGCGTACTCCCCACACGTCGCTGCCGTTTCTTTTGACCCAGGTTCAGTGTACCTTTCGAGGTTGAATCGCCAAAGCTGACTCATCGTGTCATAGGTCTGACAAACCCCCCCCCTCACCCCCACGCAAAGCAGGCTCTCATTGGTCACAATAGTTGAGCCACAATGGAACTGATGTGGAACGAACTTGTCCCCGCCCGAAACTATGCACGAAGAGCCAACCAGAGTGGCGCAATCTCGCAAATGGTTTCGGCACGGGTGAATTTGAGCATCGACGAAAGTGGTTACCACTTGGGTCTCTATTCTCCAGCTGATGAGACCTCCAGTCCCATGTTCCACTTGACGCCCTTTCGCCAATCAGCAGAGCCAAAGAAAGCTCCTTGCTAGCTTCCCTTCCATCCCAAAGGGCGACCTATTTGCGGTTCCCGTCATCCGCTCCTTCAACAGCTATTTCCTTATCCCAGTCAGGGAACAAAATTGGCTGGTTGATCAGGTGCGTGAGGTGCAAAATCATGCGCTGATTCGTATCATTATGTCCAGGTTCACATCATCGTTCTCTCTCCCAGCCATGCTGTCTGTGACTGACACAACTGCAGTAGAGTAGTAGCAGGTATTCGCTGTCGCCGCCACTCGAAGATTGTCCATGACGTACAACCATAAGTAGTTTCGTAATGCTGCACTACGTCAACTGCTTGTGTATCGCTGCTCATTTAGCATCTACCTCCAGGCTTTCACGCGAACGCCCTATAATTTCACATGCAAATTACTCGATTACCTGATAGTGTTGCATTCTGTGAGACATTCTGTTTGCCTTGATCCTTGTGATCGATTAGGTAGACAAATTGACTCCACCGCCAATCGGTCATGTTACCTGCTTCGTTGCCCATATCAAACTGCTGGCATCGCCAGCCGTCGCATCAGTATCGCCATGCCGTCGCATGCCTTTCCCGATTGCTCCTCCCGCACGTCGCTCGCAGCGTGCGACGCTGCGAGTTCCATGACGCCAGCCAATCCTTAGAGCAGTGGCTCTTCCGGTCGCGAAGCCTCCCTGCTGCTGTCGATCGTGCATCGCATCGCGAAGACCTCGACGAAACCTATGTTCGAGAGCAGGGAGCCGATCCAGCTGTTACAGGTGACACTTCAACAAAATTCGCATCGGAATGTAACGCAGCACTGCCGTACGGCGATGCGAACGTGGCAAGGGAGTTCCTTCCCAAGTCACGCGGCCGTGAACTCGACGCTTACTCAATCCTTTCCTCGCAAACCCCTAATTACTCGCTCGTGCGGCAGGCTCCACCCCCACTCCCCTCAACCCAAGACCTGACCCTCCCTCCATCTCTCCTCGCTTACAAATGTCAGCCCGACCGTTCCTTATCTCCCCGTCTGACCCATTTGACGTTTGGAATTTCCCGACGGTTGGATTCTTCCGATCCGTCGCACCGCCACCGTCGACCTCACCATCCTTCTCACCGTCCGTCTCTCGAGGCGCGGTTCCATCACTCTCTCTCGACCTCCCGCGTTCGCGACTCGTTAATGCACGACGAGCCGCCCCACCAGCTGCAGCAGCCGCGCCAGCAACGGCACGCCGCGAGCCTTGCGGCTGCAACGGCGGCGCGGGAGGAAGAGGACGACAGGATGGACGCGGAGGAGGAGAAGGAGGAGAAGGAGGAGGAGGAGCGAGGGGAGGAGGAAGGCTACCGAGAGAAACGTAAGGAACGGGGGGAAGGAGTGGAGCGAGAGGAGAAGGCGACATTAACGCAAGGGGAAGGCGTGATTAATTCTGATCCTTCTACTACCATAATCAGACCATCTGGCATAGAATACCCGAAGGCGGGATTAGCCATGGCTGACGGTGCTAGTGCCGGGGAGGAAGTCGTGACGGACGTGTTGACGGACTCGTTCGGGCGGCAGCACAGCTACCTGCGCATCTCGCTGACAGAGAGGTGCAACCTGCGGTGCTCCTACTGCATGCCCGCCGAAGGGGTGGAGCTCACTCCGAAAGAGTGAGTGGTAACGGTGAGGTGAGGTGATGCCAATGCAGGTGCAGCGCGTGGGTTGCTACTGGGAATTTGTTTTTGCGAGCGCAAGTGCGTGCGAGAGGTGCAGCCTGCGGTGCTCCTACTGCATGCCCTCTGAAGGCGTGCAGCGTACGGTGAAAGAGTGAGTGGTGTCGGAGAGGAGAGAGATGTGGCTGTAGCGGCAGAACATGGTCGGAAAGTCTGGGTGTGTGAGCACGAGTGCATGTGTATGTCGGAGGTGCAACCTGCGGTGCTCCTACTGCATGCCGGCCGAAGGGGTGGAGCTCACTCCGAAAGAGTGAGTGGTGTGAGCACAAGGCATGATATACTTTCTGATTCCCAACTTTGTTCCTCCACTCCACACACCTCCTCCCCCCCCACTCGTCTCCACCCACTAATTCAAGCCCCCTCCCTTCCCCTCTCAATGCTTGCCACTACTGCGTGCAGACACTTGCTTTCAACGGACGAGGTCATTCGCCTGGCGGCTGTGTTTGTGTCGCAAGGCGTGACTAAGATAAGGCTCACAGGCGGCGAACCCACAGTCAGACGAGACATTGTGGACATTTGCCAGTCGCTCTCCGCCCTGCCAGGTATGTATGCGCTCATCTCAGCCAGGTGTGTATGCTCTCTCTGCTCTGCAAGGCGTGACTAAGATAAGGCTCACAGGCGGCGAACCCACAGTCAGACGAGACATTGTGGACATTTGCCAGTCGCTCTCCGCCCTGCCAGGTATGAATGCGCTCTCAACAGAGGACAGAAATCAGGCTGACAGGCAGCGAACCCACAGTCAGACGAGACATCGTTGACATCTGGTAGTCGCTCTCTGCTCTGCCAGGTGTGTGTATGCGCACTCAGAAGAGGTCTAACACACAATGCGTACCAGGCTGCTGTACGGATTCTCAAACACAACAATGAGGCCATGCTCGCACATGATTGGATACCATGAGCTGAGCATGAATTACACATGCGTTGAACCGTGAACGTGAGTTGCACCCACGCCTCGTTTCATTGCTCTCCCTCTCTCTCTCTCTCTCTCTCTCTCTCTCTCTCTCTCTCTCTCTCTCTCTCTCTCTCTCTCTCTCTCTCTCTCTCTCTCTCACCCCTCTTCTCTCGCCCTAACGTCCAGGCCAGGCCTTGATTGGCTGGCTACCCATACTCTCTCAGCACACGGGTTGCCTTGCCTCTCCAGTCTTCATCTGCGTACTCACACTCACACACACACTCACACACACACTCACACTCACACACACACTCCCACACACACTCACACCAACCTATCTGCACATATCTCAACACCCTGGCACACTGCTTCCCTCAACACCCCTCAATGCTTCCCTGACGACTCTCATGCCCTTTCCGTCCCTGATGCCCCTGCCACTCTCGCCACCCCTCTTCTGCATGCACTCCCTCTGCCTGCCCCATCCTGTGCCTCAACCCCAGCCTGTGCCCCTGCTGCTAGCACACGGCTCAGCACCCAGCCCAGGCACGGGGCCCAACCTGTGCCCCTGCTGCTACCGTGCTGCCGACAGCATGTGCTGCCGATTTTTGAGGCGCCTCATAACCTGACATCTCTCATCTCCTTGTGCCCCTGCCCCTGCCTGCCTGTCCCCACAGGGCTCAGTCAGCACCCTGGCTCTCGCATCAAACGGCATCCTCCTGCCGGCCAAGCTGCCAGCGCTGAGGGAAGCAGGTCTGACCCACCTGAACGTCAGTCTAGACACCCTCCTGGTGGAGCCCAGGTGCCGCCTCTCCTTCTCTCCATGCCTTCCCTGTGCCCCTGCCTCTGCCCGTGCCTATCCCCACAGGCCTCAGCACCCTGGCTCTCACATCAAACGGCATTCTTCTTCCCGCGAAGCTGCCAGCGCTGAGGGCAGCGGGCCTCACCCACCTGAACGTCAGTCTAGACACCCTCCTGGTGGAGCCCAGATTCGAGCTTCTCACCTCCCCATGCATTCCCTCGGCCCCTGCCCCTCCCTCCCCTTGCCTCTGCCCCTGCCTGTCCACACCCACAGGCCTCAGCACCCTGGCTCTCACATCAAACGGCATTCTTCTTCCCGCAAAGCTGCCAGCGCTGAGGGAGGCGGGCCTCACCCACCTGAACGTGAGCCTGGACACCCTGGTGGAGCCCAGGTTCGAGCTGCTCACGCGCAGAAAGGGGCATGCGCGCGTCCTTAAAGCCATGGACATGTCTCTGGATCTGGGCTTTAAGCCGCTCAAGGTGAGAGTTCCCATGGTCCCACCTGAACGTGAGCCTGGATACCCTGGTGGAGCCCAGGTTTGAGCTGCTCACACGCAGGAAAGGGCCACGCCCGCATGCTCAGAGCTATCGACATGGGTCTGGATTTGGGCTTTAAGCCTCTCAAGGTGAGATGGGTTTATGGTGCATGGGCTTGTTTCAATCTGTCTGTCCTTATGGCAAGTTCCCTGACAAAGGAACCGCCACAATCAGCTTCTGATGCGCCTTAAAAAAAATATATATTTCTGCCAAGTTTCCTGAGAAGCAACCGCTACGATAAACTTTTTTGCCTTCCCCTCCATTCCCCCTCCCCTTACCCCTTCCCTCCGCCTCCGCCTCCGCCTCCCCCTTACCCCCTCCCTTCCCTCTGCCTCTCTTCCGCCTTTCCTCTTGGCAGCTCAACTGTGTGGTGATGCGAGGGGTGAACGACGACGAGATTCTCGACTTTGTGGGTCTCACCAGGGACCGCCCCATCAACCCCCTCTCGTCCTTTCCTCTCCTTCCTCCCCTCCCCCCTTTACCCTCCTCCCCACAACCCCCCCCCAAACCCACTACAGCTCAACTGTGTGGTGATGCGCGGGGTGAACGACGACGAGACTCTCGACTTTGTGGCGCTCACAAAGGAGCGTCTCACTCACCTCTTCCCTGTCCTCTCATTTCCACTTTTCTCTCTGTTCCGCCTCTCCACCCAACCCCCTCTTCCCTTCTCCCACCCCCCCCCCCCTATCCCTGTTGCAGCTCAACTGTGTGGTGATGCGCGGGGTGAACGACGACGAGATCCTGGACTTTGTGGCGCTCACCAGAGACCGTCTCACTCACCTTCTCTTCCTCCTCCCCTCTCTGTCCTCTTTCCCCCCACCCCCTCCCCTCCTCATCCAGCTCAACTGTGTGGTAATGCGCGGGGTGAACGACGACGAGATCCTGGACTTTGTGGCGCTCACCAGAGACCGACCCATCAACGTGCGGTTCATAGAGTTCATGCCGTTTGACGGCAACGTGTGGAAGACCAAGAAGATGGTGCCTTACGCTGAGATCATGGCCCGCATTGTGAGTGCCTGGTATGGTTGAGGAATGGGTGGTGAAGATGTGGGGAAAGGGCTGGGGAAGAAACTGGCAAGGGATTTGGAAGGGGGTTGGGAAGGGAGGGGAGGGGTGGGGAAGCAGCACCGTCCCGACATCTCCCACCTCATTGACCAGCCTTCCAGCCTCTCTCTCCCCGCTGTTTCTTTTGAGTCGACTCAAAAGTTCCCACCTCATTGACCAGCCTTCCAGCCTCTCCCCGCTGTTTCCAACTCCGCCTCCTCCTGTTTTCCCTTCCCCCCACCTTCTCGTTGCCCCCATCCCCTTCATCTGAAACAGCACCATCCCAACGTTGCTCGCCGTTCCCGTAGGACCTCTCCGCACCATTCCCAACACAATTCCGCCTCTCCCAACCCCTCCCCCCCCCCCCCCCTCCCCCCCTCATTTCCCCTCCCCTACCTCATCTCAGAAGCAGCGCCATCCTGACACCACCCGCCTAAAGCACCACCACCCATCCCACATCCCCCCACCATTCCCAACTCATCCACTTTCCATTCCCCCATTCCCCCACTCCCCACTCCCCCACTCCCTCATTTCAGAGGCAACGCCATCCCGACATTGCCCGCCTCAGGGACCACCCATCTGACACGGCGAAAAACTTTCAGGTGCCCGGATTCGCGGGCAGCGTGTCGGTGATTTCGTCCATGACCAGCCACTTCTGCTCCGGCTGCACTCGCCTGCGCCTGCTGGCCGACGGGAACCTCAAAGTCTGCCTGTTTGGCCCCAATGAGGTGAGTTACTGCTGGGTGGAGGGGTGGCCTCTGTGTCTGTTTGGGCTAAACGTGGTGAGTACTGTGACCTGAGGTGAGTACTGTGACCTGAGGTGAGTACTGTGACCTGAGGTGCCTGGGTGCCTGGGTGTGATCCGTCCATGACCAGCCACTTCTGCTCCGGCTGCACTCACCTGCGCCTGCTAGCTGACGGGAACCTTCAAGTGTGTTTGTTCGGGCCCAATGAGGTGAGCGCAACGCCTTTTGAGGCGCCTCAAAAGGCGCCTCAAAAACTGCCGGGAACTTTAATGTGTGTTTGTTCGGGCCCAATGAGGTGAGCGCAACGCGGCACAAAATGGTACACTTATGCTCTCACGGTCTTGTGCACTCGTTTCCACATATTTACACAGTACCTCCGCTACCTTCCAACGTCAATGCTTGGTCTGTTGTTCATTCCATTCGTTCCCGACAGGTGAGTCTGAGGGATGCGCTGAGGCAGGGAGCAACGGAAGAGGAGCTGCTCTCCCTAATCTCTGCTGCGGTACGTCACCACCCTGTGTGCTTCGACTGAACGATGCTGTGTGTGCGCGGTGTGGAGTGGAGTGGTGTGAGTGTGTGGTATGGCAAGGAGCAACAAAGGAGGAGCTCCTCTCCCTCATCTCTGCTGCGGTAGGTCACCACCCTGTGACCGTGTGGTGTGGTGTCACTTGGTATGGTGTGGTGTGCTGACAGTGCTGTGAACGTGTGGTTTGCGTTACGTGTCGGCCAGGCGGATTTGTGAGTCTGAGGGATGTGTTGAGTCTGAGGGATGTGTTGAGGCAGGGAGGGAGTAACAGTAGGGATTGTTCTTAGCCCTTAAAGAACACAAGTGCGTATTGAATCATGTAACACGGGCATCATTCTCTGTGTTTTTTCGCCTTTTCCTGTTCTATCACGCTGGCTGTCAACCCGACAGGTGAAGCGGAAAAAGGCTGCGCACGCAGGCATGCTAGAGATTGCTAGAACACACAACAGGCCGATGATAACCATTGGCGGTTAGGATGATGTGATCATTGGCTGTGATTGCCGTGTTCGATGTAAGATGAGCATAGACAATGGTTAAGTGTACCTCTTTCTGATTGAGCCATATAAGGTGGAAGAGAATCAAATTATCGGAAGGGATTGGCAATTGAAACAGTGGGACAAGAACCAGAAAGATAGTTGTTACCCGAGATGTTTATAGAGCTGCGAGAATAAACAGGGGGGAGTAGTTTGAAGCAAGCTACAGTTCTATTGGTCATTTCCAATGGATGCTGCCCATTTAGGGGACTTCTGATTTTAATAATGTTGTTATGATATGTTACAGTGAAGGGGCAAAATGATTGTGTACACCTGAAATTATAGCCTGCTTTGAAGAAGAACCTCCCTAGAATGTAGAATACACAACAAAGTTTTACTGTAGCATAAAGATAATATTTGAATATGCAGGGTTCTACCTAACGAGAACTGCCTATCTACAAGCCAAGGAGTTAAATTTGCATCGGGATTTGGAGCTGGTACGAAAAGTAAAGAATGAAGGAATACTGTGCACTCCTAACCGCAGCAATCGAAGCATGCCGTACCGAGGCTAAATGCGAAAAGGCGGAAGTGACGCGAAGCGTCGTACGGATACGAAAGGATCTGGATCGTCGGGTAGGTGACATCGAGCAGCAGCAGTGGCGAAGATTCTGCCCAGACAGTTTCATAACTATCTGCAGTCGCACGGTTGGATTTCGCTGTAATAAGGGAATGTACCCCTTAGAGTACATTGCTAGTTAGGTCGTTTCGTATTGCTAGAAAGACATAGTGCCAGCGTAGCAGAAACGCGTTTGTAGAAAAGAACAAGTTAGAAATCTTGCATTGATCATTGAAAAGTAGAATGATGTCACAATGATGATGAAGAAGTGACTGTCAAAGTTAATTTATGTAACTGTTTGTGGTTTAGGTGTAGTGTATTTATCTTGTCTTCTGTTTGGTGGTGCACCTCTAGTTTCTTGACTTTATGTTGTATCTCTTTGCTATTATTGAACCCTCATTCTCTCGAAACTTTTCCTTCAACTCGAACTCAACTTCTCCTATCTCACTAGCCATGGATCCTAAGCCTCGCTAGATTCTTCACAGTGACACATGAGGGTATATATGCATCTAGCTACCCCTCCAGAATGACCCATTCACACCAGTAATGGTGTACCAATACCGTGATTATACCAGTAATTTCAAGACGTGCGCGAAATGCGATCGAACCTGGAGTGCATCCAACGTCTTCTCCTGTCCAGGTCGAGGCTGCTGTTGCGGCATGAAGCTGATTGAGCCACATTGAGGCTCATACGGAGCAAAGGTGGGTTGCTGCTGGTTTCCGCGCGCATAGGATGAGCCATCAAGACTCATGGGTGTAACATCATTATTGTTGTTGCTGATGTTTGACTGCGCAGGTGCTGCTTGCTGATGCTGTTCGAAGCCTGTCGCTTGGTTTGCGGGAGTCTCGGTAGACTCACCTGCTAGTCTTGTTGCTGTGCCTCCCTCTGTCTGCAAGCCAGAGGCTGGAGGGGGAGTAGGAGTAGTGCCAGGAGAGCCGTTGGAGGAGCTTCTCTCCTTCTGCGTTGCCATGCTTTCTGTCGTTGTAGAGGATTTGAATGCAGTTGAATTTGCCTTGACCGCTCTCATACCATGTTGGGCAGAGAAAAAGCCCTTAGGATCTGTACGAGGCTAAACTCTGAGTAGAGGTGCTGTAGTTGCGGAAGCGTTTTAATGACAAGTGTTGAACCACCTTGCGCTAGTATGTGAGGGCAAGATAGTTTGATTATAGAAAAGTGATACAAGCCTTTCATAAGATTACAAGGAATATGAAAGGGTGTAAGTAATAACTATTTTACTGTTGCTGTTGCGGTTCGATACAGTGACGACTCGGGCAACTGCTCAGTATCGAGTCAGTTGTTTGTCCTTGCTGTCGCGCTGTATTTGTCAAGTCAAAGGTCAGCGACCTTTGACCTTCGCCTAACCTCCAGTAGTTACATTTTCTGTCAACCTCCGATGGTTGACTCGCCGTTGCTTCGTTGTAGTTCGCTTTGCTTGCAATTCAGTGTTTCGACACATCAGAAGCGCTGAACTCACTGGTTTCCAACAAAACCGAACAACACACTGGTATACAATATTCGTTATACTATATTCGGATTTCCAACACCCCCCCTTGCTGTAGATTTTAGTGAATCTGTTCCTTGGAGGATGGGGTGGTCGAGGTGGTGTACCACCATAAGGTAGGGGTGCGCCCAAACCAAGCTAGGGTTTGGTGTTGACCAAGCTGCTTGTCACTGTAGCACCTTTCCCCTCCCAACCTTTGGGCCTTCCAAACTCCAACCAAACCACCTTCCTTCACGTTGTCCAATCCATCCTTCCGATCTCGATATTCTAGATCGAGATCTAGAAAGTAGTAGCTGCTGCTAAGGAAATCGTAGCAGCTCCATGACGAAATCTCCTCAAAACCATGGCGGAATGCGCGTATCGTTATAACGGAATGCCATTAGCGCCCGCCGAATTTCCGAATCCTTAGACTTTATCGCACACATGCTGCGCGACGACACGACGACCACACTTGACGTGCGTTTGCGACGATCGCGGTTGCGGATTACCGGGAGCGGAGGACGCATTGCGTGCGGCTGGCGCGGAGCTACATTGGCAGGCGAACAGTTCGCGCGATTAAAGCGTCGACCTGGCGTTCGTCAGCGGCTGACAAACTGGTGCGCGTCTGCTGTAGTATTTTCCTGTCCGCGACTGCTCCATCTTCGAGGTCCTCTCTCTCCCTAATTTTCTCCCTCTGCCTTTCTCCGTAAACCTTGCCTTGCCTCGTGCTGGGATTGGCACAAGGCTGTCCGCGTCTTAAATCGACACCAAAAGATGATGCCAAGTCCGCTCTTACTTCATCCATGTTTTCTTGTGATGCTCCCCCTACGCTCCAGCCGACACACAATAGCAGCAGGAGTTGCCAAACTCCATCAGCTGGAGGGTTGCGCATGTCGACTCCAAGTATGCGCACTCCAAGTATGTCTTGCACTCCAAGTATGCGGTAATGTGCACTCCATGTATGCAGTGCCCACCAAGTATGCAGAAATGTGCACAGCAAGGTATGCACAGACGTGCACGCCAGGTATGGAGAAATGCGTGTTTCCATGTATATTCTCCATCCTTCCCTCATATGGTGCCGTTCATCAACAGCAATTGGTGGGCACGCTACCGCTGCATCACGACGACGGATGGCGACCGGCTGCAACCTTTCTACCCGCTCCCCCTGCCTATTGGCAACCCTTGATGAGTATGTCTTCCCCACATGCTTCTTGACTCCATGTCCCACTCCAGTGCCACCAGATATACTCCACACCCCACCTCCCCCACACACGTGCTTGTAGTCATGCACGTAACCACGTACACAGCTACAAGCACATGAGTGAGTGTGGAGTTAGGTGATGCTGTGTTGTGCAGCACAGCTCGAGAAGGCTGCACAGGTGAGTACAACACCACAATCCTTGACTTGGCGATCATAAGCAGAGGTACGCCCGTTCCTGCACATCCCACATTTTTTTCAGCATCATTGTGTTCAACCTCCTCTGGTACAATCACTCCTACTGCAGGTAAGTCATCTGCTGCAGCATCTCCACTTCCTTAGGCTGTATCAACTTCATCAGCTCCAAGTAAGTCCTGTTTTAAAGGGTCTGCTCCATCGACTCCCGAATCCACCGCGGCCCTTTGTCCTTCTCCCCCTGAAGTCCACACAACAATGTGGGGTGAGACCTCGTCGTCATGATGCTGCTGTTTAAGAAAAGACCCAACATCCGGCAGCATATCTTCAAAGGACTGTGGTGAATGAATGTCCGTGTCAACATCATGTACTGGCTTCCGCACGACGCAAGCTTTATGTGCCATGCGGTATGCTGAATGGGTATGTAGGTGTACCCCAGGTGTGCGGAAATGTGTGCTCCCGTGTGTATGCAAGGGCAGTCCTAGTATGCACAAAGGTGTACCCCCTTCGCAACCATGCTTCTTCGATGACGTATCATTGCGGAAATGTCCAGTATCATGAGCGGATGTAAGTGCCGGCTCATACTCCACCATGAGAACTCCATGCACGTCCTTGCCAAGTCCAATCCGCACACACTTGTCTCCATCAAACATGGTGATTTCCGTATCTCCATCAGCAACCGTGTTGATGTGAGCCCCTTTCTTCAGCAGCTGACAAAAGGAGAGCAGGTTGTTCTTCAAGCCAGGTACGTAGAGGACTTCAGTGTACTGAATTGTTGTCCCATCAGGTGCAATTTTTCTGATCGTTCCCGTCATCTTGCTGCTCAGATGGCTCCCATCAGCAAGCTCCACAAACAAAGCTTCGTCCAGCTCCTGTAAGTCTTCAAACCAGCATCTGTCCGAAGTCATGTGCTGGCTGCATCCGCTTTCCAGCATCCACAATGACGCTTCAACCGAGGGTGAGGTTGCTTGCAAAGATTGCACCGTTACAATGCATGTAACAGTGCATTTGTTGTCTCCCCCGGCTGCTCCTTGCTGTTGTGA